TGGATTACATGGATGGACAAGGATGGACCAAAAAACCTCAAAGGAGCACACGGACCACCAGATGACGTCAAGAGGGGAAACAAAGCTCAAGAGGTAGATGGCCTCCAATTAAATAAGCTCATTACTCAAACATTACTTTGACGAGGATACATTGTAATAGGATTGCATATTGGAAAAATAATAATCCAGATCATTTTTATTTGAATGGAAATCATGATAATTCACACTATCAGGTCAGTACATCAGTGAGATTAAAATAAAAACAAACTGATGACTTGAAAGAAGGAGCCATAACCAACAAAATACTCCCGTTATTGATGTATTCTATATGTAAAAAGCCCCAGGCAACTTTTCTCTCATGGAAACTTGTATGTGCATAACACCCTTAAATTTATGTTAACAACTGTTTAATCTCAGTTGTGATTTTTGTTAGTTGCAGTAATCATGATTATTTGATTAATTTGATTCATGCACCATCATAACCAGGTCAAAGTCTCATGTAGCTGAGTGAAGTGAATTTAGACCAAGGTATGGATAACTTCAAACAGTATTTCTTCTCACTCTTCTCACAGGGTTGCTGAGTGCAGAGTCAGACTATAATATTATTTACACTGTCGCTTTATGATGACACGTACAAACAGCCCATGCCAGTAGCAGGCTGTGGAGCAGAGCAGTTCAGAGCCCTGTGGGGATGAGGCCTAAAAGACCCGGGCCTCTAGAGAAACAGCCACACTCCTACTGGGGTTTACTGTGCTGTCATACACACAGCTGTCTCCAAAACGATGTGTCAGCAGCACTGGGTCACTTCAACGTGAACTACATGCACCTTTGAAAAATAGACAAAAATTGTAATAGGCATTCAATTAGAAAAATTGTACTGGGCATTTGCACAATCTCCGCTTTTAAGGTATTTGTCTGAAAGACACCGTGACCCCACAGTATCAATCAGACAGTTCTGAATCAGCACACAATCTGAATAAACTGCTATAAAATTTTACAAAGAAAGATATAAAGCCATCAAATTGATTTCAAATGATCTTACTGTACAACTGCTTTAGCTGTATGCAGTGTTTGAGTTATTAAAACTAGATATACATTTTATCTCAGGATTGTCGATTCTTGCCCAGATCAGACCTTGTGGAAATGCATGAGTAATTATTAATCTCTGCGTAAAGTCAGTGAGAGAAATGGTAAAGGGGAGCAGAGGGCCAGAGGTAGGAGCAGCGGTCCATGTGTTTCAGAGCACAAAGAGGAAAATGTCTTCCTCTAAGACCTGGCACTGGGACAAGGCTGAGTGCACAACTTTAGACCACAGGGTGGGGCATACCGTTTCTCCAGTCAAATGAGAGAAAAATAGCAGCTGGAACATGAGACATTTAGTGAGAGCGAGGCAGAAGTAACAGACATCTTAGAATGGAGAGGAACATGGCAGCCAGGAGCACAATCAATATCTCCGTAGACATCAATTGTTCAGATCAGGCCTTAAGCCAATCAGCTAATCCCTGCCAAATTACACGGATTGAATGCATAATTAAACTGCGTTCTGGGTATTTTGGGGACAACTACAATAACTACTAGACTTATTTGCATTTTATTACAATTCTCAAATGAACAAGCCACATACGCCCTTAGAACAATGTGTTCCTTTAAGACGCCAAGTCGCCAATGGTCAAAATGGATTCCATTAATTCTAATCTACACCAGTATATGACCCATCAATGGCCAGGACAGAACCGCAGTTTATAGTAGAGGCGAAATGATTATATGTATATGTATATGTAGGCAGGAGACAGTTTTCACAACATTTAGAATCCAAAGCTGTCCTGTGCGTTTTGGCTACATCTTAGCTAAAATTCACTACGATCACTTAAATAAGTATTCCCAATGAAAATCTTCCTCACCCACAAGTCCTGTGCTGCCCCAGTTATGCAACTTGAACTTCAAATATGAAGGCCTGTTTAAAAGGCACCTTAGGCATACTAATAAAATTATCTTCATGCATCACAAAACAAGTATACTATGACTCATTTTGTATAGAATCCATAGCCCATTACCTAAACAGAAATATGTTGTTAATTCATTAACTCCCACAGAACTATCAGCGGTCAGTCACTACTTGACACGTCATTATAACAACAAAACAATCAGGGGAATTTATACTATTATATTGGCATCAACAATGTTATAATCGACACTTTCCTGTACAATATTTGGCAGATTCAATAGACAACAAATGAGGAAGAGGGGAAGGAATCACAAAGACAAAAACAAGAATTAAAGCCCAGACTGTTTAGGCAGACAACACGTCCTCTAATCTTCCAGATGAGTACAGGTGATGTGATTTATTGTAGAATATCCTGGTACATAATAGTACAAATGAAATAACATGGAATTCAATCCCAACAAAAATCCATATGAATGAGAGGTTTGCATAAAATATTGTATAAATTGGTTGTGAAATTGAAGAGTAGAAAAAATTGGGAATTGATACCAGCGCAGCCCCTGGCAAGTTGGCAAAAACCTTTGCCATTCTGGAGCACATTTGAGCTTGACTTTCAGTTACGTGAAGTGACTAAACTTATACTGTATTTAAGAGTTTCCTCCAAGTACTCCACTTGTTTGTACGATGTTGCATTTTCTACTTTCTACTACTAAATATTAGGGGAAACTCTTGAGTAGCCAAATGTTATGCAATGTCTGATAGATTTAAACTTTTTAGAAAACGTAATTATAGTTTGTACATACATTCTTATAATTAAAGCACATTTTAAGTGATTGCCACCTCGAAATCTGATAACCGCTAACACATTTTAATGCCCGGTTTGAACGGGACCAGAGGGAGCGAATGAGAGCCAACTCACACACCACAGTGACTCATACTTTCTGTCGTTACTGCGCCGTAATTCTATAATAAACTAGTTCTCCATTTATTTGTGTAAGATGACACCTGAAGGTTCCCTAATTTTATGAGGCCAAAACATGGAAGAATTTGATCAGTGAGATAATTTAGTGGCTTGAGGCCACAAGACAAAAGGGCTCAGGCCGATGGAGGAGCATTCATAGACTTCGTGTGGCTCATATGGAAGTAATTAAGGAGTATGGCATCTGTAAATATGGATTGGCGGCACAGGCCAGTAACAAAGATGGCAGTTGTGTGCAGTTTTTTAAACAGCAATGGCAATGCTGAATCAGCACAGAGACAAGTAAAGCCTAATGAAATTGAGTTTATCATGTCTTCGGCTGTTATTTATAGTTTACCTCTTTTTTTTTTTTTTTTAAGCGTTGTAAGATCCCAATGACATAAACCTATGGAGGCTGGAAATGTTATTGTCTTGAAACAGTGACATCTTTATCCAACGCACAGCGTCATGGCACCTGGTGTCTAACCCAGAAACTCCTCAGCCAACAGCCGCAGTCTGTAACTAACTTCTGCTCATACCACCGCATTGTACTCCTCACATGATCAACAAAGTGTGAAGATGTGGTATAACATGAAAAGTATGTGTAAAGGACAAATATGTGGTTTCATTAATCAAATGGACAACAATGCTGACGGACTCATGTCTCCTGAATTAATGTTTATATCTCTGGCCGATCCGCTACACAGCATTCAGAGTCTCCCTCTCTAATATGCACTCATATTATAAAAGCTTACATTCATATTGATCACAGTTTAGTCCCTATCTGGGTAAACTACTGCACTATTTGTGTTAGGGCACATGAGCTCCACATGTGTGTGGCTGTGTTAGGGCTCGCTCAGTCTCCTTCATTGAAAATCCTTCAGTTCATTCATAGACTTCAGAGGCATGGACCTTTCATTCATAGAGCCAGTATGATAGTAGGGTTAGGAAGGCCTATTACAAAGTATGGCAAAGTTTTACATTGCTGCCAGGTCACCATTGTAAATTAGAATTGATTCTCAAGGTTAAACCTGCTTAAATAAAAAGCAAAACAAATAGCATAAAAATATTAGGCTACATTGTATCATTAAACAACATACAGATGTATGCAGCTTCCAAATAGTTTTGACACCTGAAAACACTGTCATGATGACCTCTAAACTGCAACTGAACAAAGTAGCCTATATGTATAGCTTGTTAAGGCTTATTCTTCCTAGACTTAAAGTTATTATTTTTTTAAACAAAGTAAAAAAAAAGGAGTGAGTAAAATCATAGACTACTCTCTAATAGGAAGAAAGCCGGGCACTTCTGGGTAATGTCATACTACTATGCGCAGAATAACAGGCTGAACATTCATTCATATTGATTATCTTAGGATCTCTAACGTCACTCCGCTACGTTTATGTGCTGCTCATTAAACAGTGGACGCGAATAATGCACGGCCTTAACAGCCAAGCGCTCCTGATGCTGTGAGGCGCCAGGCGGCCATTTAGGTGCATATGGAGGCTACGTAAATGGCTGATGCATTTGCAATGTTTCTTCCTAATTGCTGAACCATCATCAACCCCAGGTCTTGCGCTTGCTGTGCTTAACCCGCCACGTCCCACCACTTCACCCCGTCCAAACCTCCTTCCAAACCCTTTTTAACCCCGATGGTCCCAAATTATATCAGTAGAAGGTGGTTTTGGAGAGAGTGCTTCTCTCCTCGGTCTGATTTAACCTCTAGAGACTGTGGATCAAACAATGAAGAAGCATTCCGCACGACGCTTCATCACGATGCCGTCACAACATTTGCATTTACAGTGAAGAATTTATTCAAACAAGGGCGCATTAAGGTTCACCTATTGTTACATTTCTGTTGACAGTAAGAAACAACAAGAGGGTTTCAAAGGAATTGACCAGCTGTCGGCGACGGTTGCTGGTGGCCAACATGTCAGCCTGAATCAATAAATAGCAACGCAAAGGCCCTCTATTGTCTGTCCGAGCATTGAATTGGGAAGAAAACACAACAGCTAGCACTATACCGTTACACGAGCCGCGCAGCCACTGCCAAAAACATATTTGAGCGGGACCAGGCCGCGCGCACATCCTCGGGCTCACCTGTGCGTCCTTCCCCTCTGTGTGTACAGTCTCCGGGTTCACGGTCCGGTCCTGTCGCTGCGGAGGCACCTCACCACCAGCTCCCGGCACCGGCAGGCAGCACTGAACAGCCTATTGGGCCTACACAATCCCCCTTCCCCTCGCTGATGCCAGACGCGCTGCTCATTGGACAGGCGCGCACTGTTGTACAGCTAGAATGACATGCGATTGGCTGCTCACAACCATAGAAAACCCAGACAGGACCCTGGTTGGTTTGAAATCCCATGTCGGCGGAGCCAGCCGAATGGTTAATTGGATGCTGTTCCACGGCGTAGCGAGAGAGACGACACATTGGTCTGTAGGCTTGTTGTTGTCTGTGTCTGGAGCAGGATGGAGGCTTGTACAATAGGGCTCGACCATGACAGTGAGCTATGTCAAGTGCAGGTTTAGCTCAGATTGTAAAGTTCAGTCAATGCGGAGCAGGCCGATTGCACTGCTGGTTATAGCTTACCTTGTTGGGACAAGGAAGGACCGGAATAGAAAAAGGAAAGACATTCATATTACCTATATTTTTACGTCGATTTATTGCGCATGGGATTGGAGCAGCGGCTGATTAACACCTTAACGACCGGTAAAAGATGGGAGGATCGCTTTACGAAAAGACAACGCTCTAACCCAGACTAATAAATGAGGAAGCTGACCCAGTGGGCAAATCGGTACCACCTAAAAGCAGACGACGAGCAAAATTATCTTTTACAGGAGTTTTAAGATTTGCTAGCCCACAGCTGCACCGTTTTTGACTGTCCGTTTCCAGATAACCAAGTCATAATTGCTATAGGGCCTAATGTCTCTTATAACTTTATCAAATGTTACGCTTATCTTACATTTAATTATGTTTAATTGCCTTATGTTAAACTAATTGTTAACTAGGCTAGTACGACGCCGGTTGGCGTCCAATTAAAAAAAAAAAACTGGTTTAAAGGGAGACGCTCAGCAGAATTGTACGTATCACGCACGGAGGCCTATGCATCAATAAGCTCCATAAGGCCCACCATGTAAACTAATCATGTAACCTAACTATCTAGGTCATGTGGCCATTGAAAAATGTGCGGTGCGCAAGACCATTGCGCCATCTGGCGTCTCCGTTTATCTTTTTGTCTATAAGGCCCTATGAGCCTCAGGGGTCAGTCCTCTTTACAAACGGTAGCCTATACACACAAAAATCTCCAGGCCTGATCATCACTATTGATTCAGTAGTTCAAAAGAATTTAGCTATTTAATTAATTAATTAATTATTAATAAAAGTTATGTTTGTATGTCTTTGGAATCCAAATTCAAGGCGTAACTTAACCAAAGCAGTTGATAAAGTGAAGAGTCTGAGACTTTTGGACAAAAGTTGAACCAGCCACAACTTCGCCACTAGATGGCGTAAACACACAGAAGCTGAGTGATAATGAGTTGAATAGCATTATTTTCACTTTAGTTTTTTTTTTTTTTTGTAAATGTCACAGTTTATGGGCAGCTAACACTCGCACCTCACAGAAACAAGATTCATGACTTTATCTTGACTTTATCTTCTCTTTGGGGCCTTTCAATGTGTTGTGCATGTTGAAGCTAAAACATGCACATTAGGTTCCCCCCACAGCTACACAGACCTGACTAAAACTACTAGATCAGAGATCTTATGAAGAGGACATATTTCTCTATGCTACATCTTACTTACTTTGTACTTTTTTCATTATTAAATATGAACTCATTGGTGTAGTTTTCAGACACCATGCCTATTTATTTACAGTATTTACCCTTTACAGTACCCTTGAGTAAAAGTTTATTTTTCTCACTGTGACAAAAAGCTTAATGTTGAAACATTTATTTCTTGTACTGCTTCTAAAATGAATATGTGTTCACATTTTGTTTATCCATTTTCATTAAACTTATATTAGGGGTCACAACCAGACTCCCTTGTCTTACTGGATGAGTGTTTTTCTCAAATACTGTTTTTACAGTAACTTGAGTAATTTATTGGATCACTACTAAGTACACTTACTACTAAGAACTTATATTTGAATAACGTTATTTTTAAGTAACAGTACCCTTAGTTTATTATTTATTATTATTTACTTCAGTTGTATGCTACTCTACTCACCTCTGAGTATAGGCTGTTTCAGTTACTGTGAAATTTCTTTAAGATTACCTTTATTGAAACTTGTATAAGAATATTTAAAAGGCATCATAAATAATTCAAACAGAAAGGATTCATTGAGCACAGTTGGTTTATTTGGTTTCAGGCATTTTGTTGAAGGCAAGAGAACAAGCATAACACAGTCCAGACTGAGGAAGGAGAAGAGCAGAGACCAAGCTGGACACAGCATTCGTATGCCCTGTAACTAACAATATACAGTATACTTATCTTTTAGACTATAAAACCAATTATATTAGCTTAATCTTCAAAACAGTGCTTTCTATAAGTGCCTACGTCTTCAGGGTCAAATGAAAGATGCAGTACGGACTTGGTCTGTATGCACTTGTTTCTATGTTAAGTGTACAACATGTAAGTGTCAAGTGCTAGTGTTGTTCTTATTTTAAACTTAAGCTAATATTAAGTTACAACCTAATGCTACATAAATAAATAAACACCATTATAATGATGTTGGACTATGCCTGATGACATAATTTCACAACTTGTTCTCTGACTTTGCTCCCCTCACAATCTGGACAATGCTGATGCTTCCATTTCCATTTGGTCATAAGAGACCAGTGAAAATTCAAACAGTAAAGCACTTCATAACATTTTTCATACATTTTAAAGCAATGTTTCTCGTTGGTACAAGCTGCCATTTTCTACATACCTACATTTTAACATTTTTAACCAGTTATTTCTTGTCTACTGTAAGAGCATTAAATATATTGCCTTTGATTAAAAAAAAAAAAAAAAAAAAAAATCACATCTTCAAACCAAAGACAAAAACTCCATTCTTACATACACACAAAAATAACTTGAAAATTGTTATAAAATCTAACAACAGTAATATTCATGAGCGAACTTGGTTTGGCAACTTTTGTGTGAAGAGAAAGAACAGTAGACTCAAATGAAAATTAAAAAGTATAATTATTTCAAATAGACCTATTTTAAAACTAGTTAAAGCTCTACACACTTTGCACTACAAAACCTAAAATTTATAGGCCTTTCATATCAAATACACTTTTTGGTTTCATATTTGTTTTACTGCTTTTTATGACATAGAAAAAATAATGGAGACCTTTCTTAAAACATCACTGCTTTTGGCAAACCTTAGAACAATCACTAGCCTCAAGGACAAGCTTAAAGCAAAACACATTTTCTTTAAACAGACTGTTTTCTGGCATAGACAATGTGAAAATGCTCTCCTCAAGGTTTATTAAGGTTGTTTTTGTGCTTTGGCTATGAATATTGTGCAGACCATGAATGTAAAAATAAATGTATTTTTGGTTACAATTCGTCAGGCTATATATTTGGCAATTTGGCACCTGTTCCAAAGATTTTTAACATACATGGTCTTTTCAATATTTTCATATTTCCATTTGGCCACTATTTATTATGCTGTAAGTGTTACAATCTACAAAGAGACTACTTGTTAAAAGGTTACCAGTGAGATCTGAGGTCATTAGAAATATTTGGCTTGAGTTTAGTTAAAGCACTTTACAAAACTCTAACAAAAGGAAAGCTACAAGTCAATTTTAAAAAAGATAAAAGAAAACCATCCAAACGTACATCTTTGGGTGTCACTTGGTTTTCGAGGAACTTTTGTCTTTTTGGGAAGACTGACACAGTGAAAAACAAGCCTTGGCTGTGTAGTCAGGCACACATTCTCTTCCTTCACTTTAATCTGCCAACTCACACTTGGCACGTATGGAGTTAATATGGCTTGTTGGTCCAGAAGAAGAATAAAGGTTTGGCTTATTTGTAGGTTTTGTGTTGTCAGGCGTTAGAACCCAACGTCAATGGCTTCAAATACACAGGAAGCACACATAGGTCCATATATGGCCATCGCATACTTCTTCTGCAAATATAGGGTTTCAGGTGTGTGATGGAGGGACCACACATTTGTAGAGTAGGTAAAAGTTTCCCTTAAGCGCAAGTGCTCAGGGAGGAGGTAGACTCATTTGGTTCCAGTGCAGCGCAGTGAGACAGTGGAATCTTCTCAGGGGTGGTCATCAGAGAGCAAACAGACAGGTGTTATTGGCAGACATTGCACTGGCACTGGCACTAATCAGTGATAGCCTGTGGTATTTTTGGTTGAGGTAGGTCAAGAACAAGCAGCAAAAAAGTATGGCTTTTCAAACTGAGGTAGCGTTCTTTGGAGATGAGCAGCAGTTAGGTGAGGAAGTAGAAATATGGCTTTAAATGGTTTATATGGCAAAAGGCCGCCATCTCCAAGAGCAAAGGCCACTATGTACTATTCCCTTTCTTATTGCAGACATTGAAGGCTATTTCAACATAATGCACGGCAAAGCATTATAAAGTCCACATCAAGTGAGGTTATTTGGCATCATTTTAAATATAGCACACATTTCACATGTCACTCTGTCTGGAGGAATCACAATAAAAATATTATTTTGGTTAGGCGCAGACACCAGAGGAAAGTGACACTAGAATATTTGGTGCACACAAAGCACAACTTTGACAGCTTTGTAGTAGGTTTAAAGGCGTTATAACATGCACATCTGCATGTGCACAGGCAATAGAGGCATTCACTTTGGTTTGAGGTAGGACTGGCTGGAGGGAGAGGAGTAGCAAGAGACTGAGGGGTAAAGCTGAATGCAGAAGTAACTATTCTGCTTTGAGAGTTGAAGTTAGCAGCATGAGCTGGGAAGAATACTCTCAGAGCTCAGAGCTTAAGTTTACTGTGGGGTCATTGGTATCAGTTGAAGGGAAAGTAAGGTATGAGGGTATGGAGGGACTATATTACTGATCAGTGTTAGCCAGTACCAGGCAAACCTGCTGTGTTTCGCTCTATGACCACCTGACATTGTGCCACCTGCTGAAAAGATAGTAACAAATGTACACATTATGAGGAAGCTGATTGAAGAAAAATCAACTGTACACCTTAATGCAACTGTTTAATATTACTAAATTATGAATTAAGTACCTGAGGTTGTGACTCCACTTTTGATAAATTAGCTCGATCTTTGGGAATGCCATTGCCATTTTCTCGGGGAACAGACCAGCTGTCTTGGGTTCCTTTATTGCAAAACAGACTGGAAAAATGGTTTTAAGTATGAGTACAGATTCTAATTTTTAATCAAAGAAATACATAACATTTACATAGACATAATATGACTTTGATAAATGTGGATACCTGTGGCGATATCCAAACATGAGGAAGAGAACACAGAAGATAATGCAGGCGGTGCCAATGTGAATACCAATGACAACACTGCCCAGAGAGGCATCTCCCTCACGACACTGACATCCTATGACAGACAACAACACATTTAAACACAACAAGCACAAAATCTAACAACGTACAAAAACATACTCAATATTTTATTAGCAGCTATAAATAAAAATGACAATATTTCCAAGTATACCACATGTACTCTACTCACCAGTGGTTTTTGCACTGGGTCCTTCCTCTGCCAGTGAAACCAGTCTTTTGGAGCAGTCACTCTCTCCATTCCCGTTGTAGGCAACCAGCTTTATCTCATACACTGCTTCTCGTTCTACATGAGGGTCAAAGATAAAATTATTGAATTTGATTATGTACATACGTACTATACAAGCAACTATAACACTATAATTGCTGTTTGCAGACTCACCCAGGTTGGTGATGGTAAAAGCATTAACATGGAAGGCTGTTTGAATGGGCCCCTGGAAATCAGCACTGGGGACCCTGCGGTAGTACAGCCGGAAACCCTCAATCTTGCCTGGTTTAGAAGGGAGCTGCCACAGCACTTGCACAGCAGTAGAGTTTACCACCTTGGTGAAGTAAGTGGGGGCGCTGGGTACTGGACACATAAGATAAATATAGGACATTATGATGATAATACATAAGATTTTTGTAAGAAATTGGAAAGAAATTCAGTGGAAAAAAAGAAAGTTAAGATAATGAGCTCCATTTTACACCCATGACTAACAAAAAAGTTAGTTCCAGTGTTGCAATACACAGCAAGAGGACATAACTTCTGCTTAGTTATTTCCTTATTACTGGTAGAGACTTGCAAAAACCTATCTTACACCTATGAGTCAAAATAAGTTACTCTGACATACAACCTCCATTGCATTTCTCTACATACACAAAAGAATCACACCAATAACTAGTACATGCATGGTCACTAGTGTCTGTGCAGCCCAGTATAAGACTCAGATACAAAAAACACTTTCTAACCTCCTCCTAGTGTAGTAGCCACAACTGTGTTGGACTGGTCACTGGCTCCCATAGGAGAGTAGGCCTTCAAGTAGATGGAGTAGGTGGTAGCTGGCTCCAGGTTGGTCAGGTCATGTTGAAAGTTGCCTTTGCTTATGGCCTCCTGAAGCTCCATGCTGTCTGGTTCTATTGAACAAAGGACATAAATTATATAACATCACTCCATATCTTGAGCTGTCCCAATTTTTTAATATACTGAGTTGGTTTAATAAATGCAACAGGGAATAATATTTTTCAGCTTTACTGTGTGCCTTTTCTTTGCACTAGTGTGGACATATGTGTTATTTTTTTTGTAGTACAATACACTTTGAGCTATAGAGGGTCAACATTATGTAACTTCTATGATTCATTAGTTAGTACATTGTGAAACTTGTGTTTCAATATTATACATTCATAAAACAGTTTACTGAGATCAATCTATAGAAATCAGTGGTTTCAGTATTATCATTTATACTATTTACTTATCGTGATACTTTCTATTGCAATATATCACACTTAAAAATGTGACTAACCCTACCTTGTACTACTGTTTTCTGTCCAGATGATAGCTTACCTCCCATCTTGCGGATGTGCAAGACATAGCCGATGATGGCGTCAGTGATGGAAGCTGGAGGCTGGTTCCATGTGAGCTGGACAGTGTTGCTGGAGAGGACACTAGCAGTGAGGCTCTGTGGGGCAGCCGGGAGATCTTTCGCCTGAGCTACAGCCAGACGAGCACTGGCCTGGTTGGTGCCTGCGCTGTTCTCTGCAATGCACTGGTAAATGGCTTCATCTTCAGAGCTGATACGGGTCAATGCCAAAGTACTGCAAGAGCACAACACAAGTCACGTTAGAATATATTCAGGTAAAATAAATTACAATGCACCCTGCCACTCTAGAACCTTTTTCTAAAATAAGAACAACTGCATGAACTCTTACCTGTTGTTGTTTGTCAGTTTAACATTATTTCCAGGCACAAGCACTTTGCCATTCTTCAGCCATATGAGGTGAGGCTCTGGGACACCCTGAGCCACACATGTGAACACAGCACTGCCCCCTGCAGGTTTGGACACAGACTGCGGCCATTGCAGGAATTCTGGAGGAGCTGAATATGGACACACATTTTTAGAAACATTTGTTTAAATCATGTGAAGACAGGTTCACATTTAGCATTACATACATTTAAAATGTAATAAGCTCTGGCATAATATATATGTATATTGTTTTATCAATCTCATTTTACAGGACATAATAAATAAAATATTAACTTTAATAATCCCAGGTGCATTTCTGAAAATATTGTATTTTATAAATGAACAAAACTGCATGTTTCTTTCCTTCATTCTTGTAGCACATCCAACAAAAGAGACGCTTAAAACCAGAATAATCCATGGCTACTGTGATGGATGTGTTCTTATTGAAATGGCCATTTTGTTGCCACCACCCTCTTGTGGGGAGATGGTTGGGGGTGCAGGGTCATGCTGGGGGTTAGGGTCAATAGATCAATGAGATGCTAAGCATGGACCCGCGTAAGGAGCTTATGGACACAGCAAATATTGCAGAATAAATGGTATTTCAGTGTCCCTGCTGATAGCCACAACTGGTGGGGAAAATCAAATAGTAGATTAAGTAGAGCGGCTTTGATTTCACAAATTCAGTCCCCAGGTTTTAAAGTTGAAGGTTTATGGTTGTGTTAACATCGCTTTGTGCTCATTATGTCTCTGGTGTGTGGCTGTCCACCCCTACAGCTGCTCAGCTGTCCTGCTGCTGGACGTGTCAAGTGTCCTTAGCTGATTGTCCCTGTGCAGATCCATACTCAGTATCGATCTGTGATTCAGTTGACCTTGAATTTCACTCAGGTCTAATGTTGTTACGGCCTTTTGTTTGTGCTATAGCCAGAGATCTATTTCAACTGACAATGTTTTGACCACATGCACTTGAATCAATATTGCATTCACTTAAATAATATATTAAGGATCACAATAGGCTTGTATCACAAGTAAAACTAGCTGTTTCCTATATATGTTCTGTACACATTTTAAATGACCATATCAACCACATGGTTCAGGGAACGCATTCAATAGTGCATTTTACTTGTGTGACACATGTAAAATGTAACAGCCCTGACAAGTAGGCCTATCACAGAAGTTAATAAATGTTTTTATTCCAAACAGCATCTCAAATCAAACATTTTCATTACTTTACTACTAGGCAATATTACATCTTACACTTATGTATGTGCCCTTTTCTTCTTTATGAGACAGGACTTGTCATTGTTCAGTTTAGTTTATTATTAGGATCCCCATTAGCTGAGCTTAACAGCCAGCAACTAAAACCAGCACATTGTTAAAGTGCATATAAAATGTATGAATGGTTAGGCAGTTCCCCGCAGAGTGAGGCAGACATATTCTCTGGGTGTGGGAAAGACTCTTCATATAAATTGTGAGAAATGAGGAAGTAGGATCTGCATTATAAAAGTTGTGCATCTCATCTGAGAGTATAGAGTAGCAGGCATATGGAGCAGGGACGGGGGTTCTGCCATATTTAACTGACCATCCTCCAAAGGCCTGACCCTTCTTTGTGCACGTCCCGATTTGGTGACACCCCTGCCCGGGCTCATTCATCTCACAGCCGTCCTTAATTAACCCTGAGAGAAACAGCACCCCCACCCTTGGGACGGAGGCACCCACACATGCACCCATTCCTTCTGTCACGGTCAGTGTCACCGCCGGCTGCAAGTCACTCTCACCCCTCACCCAAGATTACGAAATTCAACATTTATAAACAGAGTCTGTTCAAAATATGTATCTTTCATATAGCAGCTGGATCTAGGAAAGCCAACACTGTGGGAAAATGAATCATTCAGTAGTTCAAGTAAAATTCATATTATATAGTTTAGTCACCCTGGGTTAAACAGTTTAACAACTTAATGCTGGCAATACTAAAACTCAAAGCTAATCAATCTATTACACCATATCCAAGATAATGCAATACATAAGCCATTTATTCACTTGTTTCTAAAGACAGACTTGCACACTGCACTTAGCAATAACTGCTGGCATTGTTTGTAAAGTTAATAGTTAGAGACTTGAAAAAAATATACGGTTGGAATGTATTCATCAAATGCATTAAAATTATATCTCTAGATTTTAAGAAAGTAGCAATAGTAGAAACATATGCAGAGGCAGGTTAGTAATTCTCAAATAAGATTATGTGGTTGACCAGAACCTAAACCCTAAAGGTCGTCTTTGTTCTATTTGAAGCCCAATAATGAAGAAAAAGATCAATAAACAAATGCATATATTTGAGATCACCCCCACACTTTAACAATATTGCACCAAAGGCAATACCAATCTCAGGATTGACAGAAGGAAGTATATATTGATTCAGTCAAGACACCAATCACCAGCAACACAAGTGAAATTGATTAATGCATGCCTATTGTTCTTTTGTTATTGTTTCATTGAATGGTAGCTGACTTAGTATCTTACCATAATAACCTATTTTATCTTGTTTTTCATAAAATTGAATTAAATTGTAACTTCAACTTTCCAGTTTGAATGTTCAATTTGTCCACTTGAATGTCCATGCTGCTTTAGAACACTGGAGACAATTTTATGGTATAATTTTAAACTAAGAAATAATAATATAAATAATAATGTATAATACTATCTGCAAATATTTCTAATTTTGTTCTCTAATGAATCTGAAATACAACAGCATATAGTGGAAATATGTGACAAAGCAATTTCAGACACATTGAGAACAATTTTAAGCATTAGTTTCTTTAAATTAGAGAGATTATGTCTTACATGTAAATGGTCACATTTTTCTATAGCACTTTTCCACCTTCAAGGCACTCAAAGCGTTTTACAACAAGGAACCACTCACCCATTCACACACCAGTGTACGAAGACACTGGCAAGGTGGGTTAAGTGTCTTGCCAAAGGACACAACAACAGCATTCATCTGTGGGAGCTGGAATCACACCAGCCAACCTGTGGGTCAGTGGATCTGACTGCTCAACCTGTGATGTTTTACGTCAAGAGCTGGAATCAAACCGCCAACCTTCAGATCAGTGGGCGAATGCTCTACCAACTGAGCTAGTGCTGCCCCATGTAATGAAAATCATTAATGACATTTTTTCATGTTGCTATATAATCTATATACTACATAATAATCATATGTAATTGTTCGACAAAGACTATATATTTTTACCACTAAATGTGATTTTTTTTTTTTACTAACCATTGAACTCTTGTTGTATAAGACCAATACAAACATGTGTTAAGATAAAGAAGTGGCTTAATAAACTTTTCTGATATTGAAATAGAGATTTTTTATGGCAAAATACCAAGTGTGGTCCTAAAAATCAAAGGTGAAGCACTCTGGGAGGGAACCTGATAATGAGTGATTCTCTGGATCGCCAATTAAAGGGCAAATAATGACAGAGAGAAATATGAGTAGCCCCAATGTATGGATAGCTTGTGTTTGATGGATGAGCCCACGTCACACAGTGAAGCCCATCCTCATGCAACCCCCATATACAAACACAAACCGTTCTGCTCGATGCTTAATTGTTGCAAGTGAAATTGAGAGTGGTGTTAGAGTGGGGAGGGGTCCCAGCTGCTACCCCCACCCTGCAAGGGCAAAGGTGAGGAGAGAAGGTGGAGCCTGACTATTGACCCTGAGCTGACTGCATATGGTTGTGTTATGTGGTGAATGTAATGAACAACTGTCCACGCTAAGGCCAATAAACCATGGAGGTTACATTCAGTTTAGATTTATAGATGATTTTTACTAAAAATCAAATTTTATAGCAGACAATTACAATTAAATTGGTTAATAACAAATATTCCTTGACTTTAATAAATAATGAGGAAGAAGGAATAGGATGAGAATGGGTTTCGGACAGTATTTCCAAAACAGACAGTTAAGGTCACAAATAATAATTTCCAACTTCCATATCATTATACTTGTTACAACTGTCAACCTAAATACATTTGATATTTTATTGGCCAGGTTTTAGTGGCTTACTGGTTTGGGACAAAATTACTTTTACAGACCTAAATATTAGTGAAATATTTTAACCTGAATCACTCTATTAAAAAAACATTTTTCATTGTAAGGATTATTTTCTGTTGATGCTAAATTTACAGTTTCTGATAAAACTGGATAAGAGGCTTTCTGAGTAAAATGATGGGTTATCTGATTGGATTTAGGCCATACTATTTAAGTACAATATACATACAGTACTTGCTAATGGACGATTTAAGAAAAGTATTTGATGGTAAAAAAAAAAGAAAAAAAAGCTATATCAATATTAAGGCATATAAAAGGACACTCCTGGAATCCCCAGGGTGAAAACAACATGAGGGAGGATGAACCAGCTTTGAAACGCCTGGCATATCTGGATAAAACACAGTGAGTATATCATTTAAATAGATCATAACGTTGTTGTTGTATAATGTTGTTTCCTCATCACATACATACTTGAAGTTGTGTTTTGCTTCTTTCACACATGTTTAACTCACCCTGAGTTCTTCTCTCAAACAGAAAACACTCTGTTGTGCCTTGTAATATAATGTGGTAATACAGGAAATTCTCCACTGTGTTTTTAAAATCCATACACCTTTATTAAAATCACTTGGATGATTTCAGCCCTGGATGTGCCAATCTCTACTGAACAAAAAGTAAAATTAGTTGTGAATTTCTATAGGTTCATGACATCTCAAGGTTGGAAAGAGCAGTTTGAGCTTTGGAGATGCAGACAAATTAATAATAAAGGGTCACTTAAATGTGTGAATGAAACGAAACACAACTCCAGGCTTGTTTTTGAGGACATAACAGCATTATAACATAGCTTAAACTTCATAAGAGTCAATTTTCCGTAGCACCTTCAACTTGTTTCACTCAATCAAGAAACATTTTTCATTGGAAGGATTTTTTTTTCTGTTAATATTAAATTCGCAATTTCTGATAAAACTGGGTAAGAGGCTTTCTGAGTAAAATGGTGGATTATCTGACTGGATTTGGCCCATATTAAAAGACCACTTGTGAAGTACCCAAGGGTGAAAACAAAATACACAAAACAAGCTTTGAAACATCTTGCATAACTGGAGAAAGAACTGTGTATCATTTAAAAAGAATTTTTGGGTACACCATTACCTTGCACCACAAGTCTTCCCAGTGCAGTTCTTCTCATTCTGGTGCCAGGGCGGTTGGCAGCACAAACATACACGCCTGAATGCTGCAGCGACACGTCCGAAATCATGAGGTTCCCTGTACCAAGAACCTGTATGCCTTCCACTCCGATAGACCGTCCATCTGAAGCACACAAGACAGTTAATGTTTATTACATAGACTTGGAATTTGTTACATATTAGTTTGCTGAGTTAAAAATCTGCAGTGGTACCCAGCCTGCTCCAGGAAACTATGGGCTTCGGGTTTCCTGTGGCTATGCACTCCAAGATGGCGGTCTGATGGACAGTGAGGGTCAGATTTTGGGGCCCTGACAAGATGACTGGCTCTTTGTAAGTTTTTACAGCTCCACCTTAAACAGAAGATAAATGAATGTAATATATAACTAAATATGGCATTGCATGTGTGAGAACAGTAACAGTTTTTCAGTGTATTCTTACCAGTGACATTGAGTGTAGCATCGTGGCTGTAGCGGGTGTTTGCAATGTTAGTGGCCACACATCGAAACACTCCAGCATCAGCCTGCCTCACACCAGTCACCTGCAGGATACCCATCGGGAGCAGAGTGTACCTGAAATTGACATTTTGTTTATACAGTGGAGTTTTTAAAAGTACCAATGGGTTTATGAGTGATGGTAAATTCAAATAAAACTTAATATATCTTTTGAATGGTTAAAATGTCACCCTATAATGGGAAGTTTAAACCTATGAATTACTATTGTATCTATATCAAAGTAATTAACCAATATAATGAACTTGAACAATGAATAGTAGCCAATTTAGTAACTGCAATATAATGTTTTTATGTTTTTGAACTACAGGAAGTGGGTTGTCAAAACATGACAAACTATGACAACAAATAATTTTAAACTTCATAAACTGAACACTGAAGCTACATTCAATCTCCAGTGTCCACTTTTTTTTTTTACATATGACAATACCATATTACTGATATATATAAGCAGTTGCCACTAAGTATAAAAAAAGGTTTGAAGCTATGCAAACTTTGAGCACTGAGTTTATTGTAAAAACTTGAAATTGATGGGGATAAAAAGCTGATTAATAATAAAAAGAACAAAATCTTGCAGAGTAATTGTCTAACCAAGGACATAAGGTGATATTTCTGCTTTTTAGTGTTTAATTTTACAGTCCATTCAAGTTTTGTACAACTAGAACCACAGTCACAACATTTACAAGTACGTTTATGCACATTTCTATTTGGTTTGCAAAGATTTTGTCTGAATACTGTCACCGAAATAATCAAAATCACTTTCAGAGAGACAAGTTATTCTGAACATATCATCCAAAGTATTTATATTTTTGTAGTGGTGGTGCCGTGGTGTGTTACCGGTTGTCCGTGGTGTTAAGTGCGACTCTGTCTCTCTCCCAGGTAATGTTGGCCTCAGGTACCCCGTTGATCTGACACTGAAAGCGGGCAACCCCTCCCTCATCCACCTTCATGGATACTGGGTGAGTGTGAAACTTTGGCAGAGCTAAAAATAAACAAAAGAGATTATAACAGGGCAATGCAGCTGAGTTATACCTACATAGTTTATATCATTATGATTTGTACTTACATGCCATTTGGACTCTGGCTTTGCGACTGACCAGCAAGCCATATCTGTTTTGGGCAGCACACTCATACTCGCCCACATCGGATTCAATGCCTTCTTTACGTTTTTGAAAATTCTGGATACATAATGTGCCATTTGCCAGGACCTGAACTCGTGAACTGCTGGGTACAGGTACACTATTCCTCCTCCACGTCACCATTATGGGCTCCTCTCCTTGTACCCGACAGTCCAACAGGAGAGGACGGTCTCGCACTGCTATCACATCACTGGGCTCCAATAAGAATGACAGCTCTGAAGCAAGACATACACCTGCACACAACAAGAAGTATAAAATTAGGGACATACCGATACAAGTGACTCGGTCTGAAATAATAAAATTTATTATTACAATGTAATCCTTCATTCATCCAGGAGTCGTTCAACTGAACCACTGGGAAACTCCAGAAACCTTTTCTCCTTTAAAACTTACTGTGTAATCATTTATACTTAAAAGATAAAAGTGAACTTGAACTATATCATGCAAATTGTTGGTATGTCAGCTGAATGCATCATGGTAGACAGGCTGACAACAATACCCTGGGTCTGAGCTAAGTGAGAACACTGTGGAGCGCTGAAGGTCAATTTCAAAACATTTCTTTAGAAAGGGGGGCTGATTACGACAATAGTATTGTGAGTCCTTATTTGCATGCCACCCCCTGTAACCTCAGTAAAGTCCCATGCTGCAGCAGCCCAGTCCAGGGATACCATCTGCCCCCTCCTGAGCCTCATCACCCCCTGGTCTCCCTCAGTCCTTTCAGTTTGGTTTCAGAGGTGACTTTCCCATGCCACCCTTGTCCCCTCTCCTTCCTGACCTTTGTGACACTTGTGCTCTTTTGCTTTTCTCTTGCCTTTTGGAGTCTCTGGATGCAAATCAGGTGCAAATGCCTCTGTCTAGCTCACAGCTGTGAAAAACCCCTGCTCTTGAACTTGCATGATTCATTGTCAATGCCATTTTAAGCTTTTGCATCTGCTCTCCCTATCTCATCTCAGTTGTGAGTCTATGTCAGCTTCTATTGTTCACTCCATCTTTTATATCACTTCCCACAGAGCAGCTTGATTTTGGCCTGCAATTATTTTGATCTCTTAAAAAAAAATAAAACAATAACATCACTCACTTCGGTGAATGGTATTTATGTCCTGATTCCTGTGTTAGGAAGATGATATTTGGGCAGTCCCAAATGTGAGTGGTAGAATAGTTTAACTAAAATTACTATTTTGCATCAACAACTGAGATACTTCCAGGTCCCAAATTGTGATTTTAAGCCTGCCTTACTGTGTTACTAGTAATCCTGTGTTTCAATGTTTTGCTTCTGATGCTGGCATCACAATGCATCAATACAAACTACAACACCCTTCAAAACACCTCCAGGCCAGATGATTAGAAATCCTTGCTACAAGTTCCAACAAGCTTTGAGCTACATGGGGTGTGATAAAGTGCACAGCTCTCAGTGTGTTCAATATAAGGCTGCTATAATGAGATTTTTTAAACAAGCCAGTTGTCCAGCAACCCCCACCCAACAGCCTCCTCATAATGCTGAGCCCCTCAGGGTCATGAGAGAGTCCAGGCCAAAGGATGGATGTGCAGATGAGGGAGGGGGCAGATTGTGTCCAGTCACTGCTGCACCCCCCAATGTCCCCACGGCTATTGTTTAGGCCCATTTCACTTGAACTTCACAGCTTTGTGACCCCCACATATGAACAAACAAAAGATGTCTGAGAACATGATGACCACCTTTGTGATGGTTTCCCTTTACACATCTGTCTCCAAATGTCAGCTGGAAGTCAGTGCAGAGTTTTGAAAATATGTATATATGTATAACAATGAAATACTGATGGATTCATATTAGTATAAGATATAAAATCTGTACACGGCTAGTCATGCTGCTATAGAAGATATTAGTAGTAAACTCTAAGAGTCTCAGTCCTCCCCTCCTCACCAGAATGGCTCCTGCACTGAGAGAAACACTTTAAACAGTTATGCAAACATGCTATGATTATGGCTTGGTCATATCTCAAGTTCACATCTCACAATGTCTCATAAGCTCATAACACATAAATTATCTAAAAACAGAGTCCTTTACAAGAGTTTAATAGTTACAGAGTTATCAAAAGTGAACCAGGGTAATTAACCAAGTTCTGAGTTGTTCAATGGGTTCAGCTAATTTTCTATAAAAATCTGAGGGAGAGCCCATATGAATCATTAAGTGCACACAGAGATACCCTTAGCTTTGTATGCATCTGTGGTGTTAATTAAAAATATGAGTCAAATATGAATCAATATTATATATAATATTTATATTATAGTGAATAACTGCTATTACATGTATTAAAATTGAGATGTTGTCTGTCATAGACATTTGGACACACAGGGTGCTCTGTTTACTTGTGTCCATTGTATGCAGTATGCATTAGGACACCCATGGGCAGCTGTAGCAGGATTAGCCCATGAGCACCCATCTTGAACACATCCCCAATCTGAATACAGACTGGGGTAGTGTTATGGAGATGAGGGTGTGAGGGTCAGGTCAGGGGGCACACATGAGACGTAGCTATTGTCTTTTTTTGTCCTTCAATTTCAGCCCCCCCCCCATCACCATATCACCATCCTACAGCTGACCAGGCCAAGGCAGAGCCCAACCCCCTTTAAAGGTCAAAGGGCACTGACTCCTTGCCTCTCACTGTGTTCTGGGCTCAAGACGGGGGTTCGCTTTGACTGGATAGAAAGAGCTCACAAATTTATATATACGTATATATATATATATATATATATATATATATATATATATATATATATATATATATATATATATATATATATATATATATATATATATATATATATATATATATATGCACGTATCACCGTTAAGTACAAAACACATCTGTAAAATTATTATTATAGCACCAAAAGTATCAAACAACCAACTGTCTTAACAGTCATGCTCCATCTTGTTGTTTGGGATCAAAATAAAAATGTATAACTTGGAAAATGGTGAGTGATGAAGCAACCAAATATCAATAATTAACAAGTAAATGTAATGGTAACTAAAACCTGAGTTGCCAAAAGTCCTCTAGTACAATAGTAAACAGTGAACAATGAACAGTGTAGCATGACAAAATATATTAAATAAACATTTTCAAAGATGTCATATGGCAAGAAAGTTGATGTTACAAAGCCAAAAGACAGAGACATAGGTGCAAAAATTACCAATATGCTGACACAAAATCTGCTTGACAAGTATTATGTTTAAGTAGTAGGTCTATAGTAAATTGCATGGTAAAAGTTTTGCCTAAATTGTAAAAAGTTTTAATTTTGAAGTGGTAATAATATAGATGAATAAAATACTTACTTAAACAGTATAAAACTGTTAGGTAGGTTGCACAGAGCCTTGGTTTCATTTTGGTTCCTTCTCTTCAATCTTCAACTAAAGCTTCTTCTCAAAGAAATCGCCAAAATCAAAAAGTTAATCCAACCCAAAAAATGGTAGTAAAAATTCTTCAGCAGTTCTTTGGTGGTAAAGCTAAAAAATGTAATATTTTTGTTAAAGCATTGCTCCTCTTTTATTCCTTGGTCCTGCGTTGGGGCCAGGGAAGGCTGCTGGTCATGTCCAAAGCCACTCTGAGAATGATGCTAGCGGGACACCTCTGCTGGGATACACATCATTAGTTATTCAGCTTCATTGTTGTCACAGAACGGACACAGATAGCTTTCACCGGCCACTAGCAGGTTGGTCTCCTCTCAGCCAATCACAGCACAGAGTTTGGTGGAGGGGTGGCAGCTTGGCCGTGGCTGTGAGGCGTGATTGATATTCATTTAATCAGAAGGGTGCTGTCCTCCCCCAACTCTCCGGACTGATAGACCAGCTGTGGCCAGAGCTGGACACTGCCCCCTTAGCTGACATAAGGCCCCATGGTGGTGGACACACAGGCACGGGTGTAAACAAAGGTTTTTATAAATACATACAGTTTTCACAGGTCCTTGCTTCTGTCACTGCATGTTCTTGTGTTTTAGCATCAACCATTTTAGCAGGAGTTGATGCAGTTGGATGGAGCAGGAGTTGGTGATAATTTTTTGGTCAGTGAGAATTCCTAGGCTAACTGTCGTGCATTATTTTTGTACAACTGCACAGGTAGTCTGACAACAGTTAATCACTGTTCCATATCATTGTACTTTAATAACTTGTAAACAAATTAAATCCTGTTAATATCAACTAAAACAAAAATAACTGTTGACTTGAACATCCATGGACTATTATCAGTTTTGGGATTGTGATGTTCTACAATCCACACCAGTGTATTAAAACTAATGCCCTGCTCTTCGTTGTCATCAGCTGATGAAATGATAATTCATTTTCTATTGGGATTTATTAATACATCTTAAACAACACAATCATGAAATATGGTGACTGAAGGATAGATAGAGAATATGTATGAATAAGGAGCACTGTATTATTGTTAACAATTCAAAATAGTTTAACCTTTTGATTTAATAATGTTGCTGCTGTCTTTAAAAGGTTTTTTGGCAGGTGCATTACAGGTTGTGTAGTCCAGATAATGATAATAAGTCATTAAGTTTTATCACACAAATAATTACAAACATATAACAAACCTGGCATTATACATGCACTTATTTATTTTGTTTACCTTTTGTAATTATATATTTTTGTAAAATACCTCTAAAGTTTTGTGTGGATTTGTGACGGTGTAAGAAAGAAATATACCTAACTTATTTGTGGATATATCCAAATCATTCACCATGTACAAATCTTTAAGCATTTCCATGGACAAAATGAACAGTTAATAAAAGGTACTGAGCATTGTTGAAAAGATATTAACCATGACTTAGGTAGTCCTAAAACACTACCCGTTTGATGAACCTTTAGAAACATTACTATGTGTTTGAGTTTAGAGGAAACAACAAAGCATGTAGACTTACTCTTTTAAGTTCATGATTCATTCAGTTTCCTGCAAGTCAGTTTCTGCAATATTGGCCTAGGCCTTACTCACTCTGTTAATGCTGATGGCAATGGTTCCACAGTCTTGTGTCACTTCTAAACATTTTTTTGATTTGCTATGCCTATAACTGATGACAAATATGTCCTATAACTGACAACAAATATCACTCAAATATCTCAAAATCCAATCCAATCTAAACCGTACTGTTAGTAGTTTTACCACTTACTACACCTTGCCTTCATTCTCTGTAAAACACAGCACATAATTATCTAAAGATACTTGTCACATCAACTAAATAACATCTGCAACCTTGTACCATCTAAAAAACATAGCAGAAATAAAAGGTATACTATCGAAAGCAAACTTGGAGAGACTTATTCATGCATTTGTCTCCAGTAGGTTGGACTACTGTAATGGCCTGCTCACTGGCCTCTCCAAAAGAGCTGTGAGACAGCTGCAGTACATCCAGAACGCTGCAGCTTGGGTCCTCCTGACTTGAACTAGGAAGTATGAGCACATAAGTCCTGTGCTCAGGTCTCTGCATTGGCTTCCTGTGGCTCAGAGAATAAACTTTAAAGAGGCTCTGCTTGTGTATAAGTACATCTGTGACATGTTAGTGCAATATGAACCATCTCACACTCTGAGAATGTCAGGGACCGGCCTCTTACTGGTGTCCAGAGTCCGGACTAAACACGGGGAGTCAGTGTTTCAGATTCATGCATCTAAATAGTGTTCCTGAAGATGTTAGACAGTCCTCTACTTTGACTGTTTAAATCCTGACTCAAAACAGTTCTGTTAAGCTGTGCATATGATTGAAAGCTTTTCCATTTTCATTCTGCACTCTTCTCTCTAATTTAATGTCTTATTTTACTTTTATGGTGATTACTTATGTTTTGATTTATTTGTATTGTGATTTTAATATATTTCTTATTCTGTAAAGCACTTTGAATTACTTTGTGTATGAATTGTGCTATACAAATAAACTTGCCTTGCCTTGCCTTAGTTGCACACACCCCTTTCTCCAACCTTTTCAATACTTCAATACATTCAACTTTACATCGAACTACTCCTGGATGAATGGGGGATTACACCATCTTGTTACCTTTAGGAGGTAAATTAAAGTAATCTGCTTCTTTATCAAGTTAACACTTTCACCCAGCAATTACAAATGAAAAAAAAAAAAAGAAAAATCCAGTCACCAATTTGGTAATGTGTAGCTTTTTTCAGGAGCTTTGACACACTTCTCTATGGAAAACTGACCCAGTTTACAGAATCCCAAAGTGACAAAAGTGCCATTGTGCAAGGCATCTTTGAGTGTTTTGAGACATTTTTCATTTGAAAAATTACATTTGCAAAACAGCTCACACAAAATCCTAAACAGAATTTTAGTTTTCCTAAGCAAAATTACAGCTAAGCAAAATGCATTTTTATATTTAAAACTGATGGATGAACTCCCAAAAGCATTTTTTCCCATCCAAACAGACTTTGATCATGTGTTTTCATGTGCTTTGTCATTCTTTTGACAGTGCAGCTCAGAAGTCTTAGTCCTGCTCTCAGGGACTACAGAGAAGCACTGCTTTAGTGTGGTCTGACATTGGGGCTCACACATATGAATCTGGGCCTGGAAGTGCTTTCTTTAAAATATCAATGCTGACATGAAAAAAAAAATAATAATAAAAATATAAATATACACATTTTTGATTTACAGACTAGCTTTACACTAACTGCGTAAAAATATGTATATGCTAAAAAAGTTGTCAGAATAGCAAATATGTCATGCAGTACCTAATGTATGTGTTCTGGAACTGTGTGTAAGATTTTGATTTTAAATTTCATAAACATGGCCTATCTGTGTTCCCAGACAAACATTATATCATTTAGGAAGCAAAAAAGGCAACATTTCCAAATTTTAACTGTGTCTTCTTAACTGTGCCTCACCTGGACCTCAAAGTGTCTAAATAAAAAAATTGGTTTTCATACAGGTTTTCACTACATACAGTCTTTTACTTTGTGTTTCTAGTGCTTCTGAGTCTGTCTATGAAAAAATCTAGTCTATGGACTATATAGCAACTGTGGTTAACCAGTTGCTTGTTGTGTTTTAAGTACTTAATAGTAGAGACTTTACAAGTAAATCATGTATGATAGATTTTGATATGAGAGTTAAGGCTTAAAAATAGATTGTGCCAACATGAACTGAGTATTGCTTCTTGAGTGACAAGTTTTGGAATTTGTGCAGAAATTGAGACCTTTGCGTCAAAGCGGTTGAAACTGTAATGTTACAGTTTGGTCTTTTGGTTCTCAAGGTGATTATCCAATCAGAAAGCAGAATGAGCCTCACAAGTCTCTCATTTCGGTTGGCTGTTGAAAGGACTCTATTCACACTTACATCCAAAACCAAAAGACGTTTAGAAACATGCGGCTTTTGGTGGGATCTGTTGGTGGCAATAAATCTGGTAAAACTGAGAAAATTACAGTCACATCTTTACCTAGATGTCACGGTAATCTTTCTTTTTTCTTTTTAAAAACTGCCTTTTAATTTGTGTATTATAACTTGTCTAACATAAAAAAGATGTCATTGTGCGTTCCGTCTTATGTCCAGCAGATCAGCAGGTACAACCAGCTGCCTGTAAGTGACATCGAAGATGCGACGAGAGTCACATCAGTCACCCTCATGGAAAGCTTTGGCAGGTTGTGAAAACCGCTGCTGCTGAATCCATGGTTTTATAACATGCCCAGTGTCGGTAACTACAGTCATCTTCTGCATGTTTTGAAATGTCTTCTGGTAAGCATGAATAGACCCTGTTGCTAAAATCCAGGACTCTCTCATATCTGGATCGACACTAAACCCTGGCACGTGCAGCCAATCATTGCCAATCATATTCACTCAGAGGTTACCAGTGCAGCCAGTGAGTGAAATAATTAAGTTTTTTTTTAAGGTTGTGAACAAAACACTTGTAAAATGGACATGTTGTGGTTAGAAAATGTATCAACCTATCTTACCATTATCAATACACTGCACAGAAAATGCTTTTAGACATGTGTAAAAGGAGTTAGAGACTTCCAGTCTGAATATAGAATATCTTCATGTGATTCCTGTGGATTCTGTCCATAGTGTCTATAGACTCTACAGACACGGGTCTTATTCAGAAATGTTCAGTGTTCATTAGTCCATATATGCAGCCACATTCAATATGGAAACTATAACATAACAACAAGAAACTACAATTTTGAGCAGCAATAAACTAACAACAAAGGATTTCACTGTATGGTAACAGGTCTTTATAGAGACATCCAACAAACAGCACGTATTGCAAAAGCAGTGTTAATATGTTTGCTATTCTGACACCTCTCAATTATTTTGATAAAATACTGTTTGCCATTATATTTAAATTTATATAACATTAATTAAATAATTTCAATCGCTTTGATATGAAAAGCGTGTAGTGAGGGTCTGTTGGGAACATCTGGCAGAGCCCTCTGTCAGAGGGACTTTCAACTCGCACCTCTGGGAGGACTTCTCCCGTATTCCGGGGGAGGCTGGCGATATGGAGTCCGAGTGGGCTTCATTCTCGGCCTCTATTGTCGATGCAGCTGCTCGGAGCTGCCTCAAGTGGAGAAGTTCAAGTATCTCGGGTGAGGGGAGGACGGAACGTGAGATTGACAGGCGGATCGGTGCAGCTTCAGCAGTGATGCGGTCGCTGTATCGGACCATTGTGGTGAAGCGGGAGCTGAGCCGAAAGGCGAAGGTCTCGATTTACCGGTCAGTCTTCGTTCCTACTCTCACCTATGGTCATGAGCTCTGGGTAATGACCGAAAGGACAAGATCGCGGATACAAGCGCTCGAAATGAGTTTCCTCCTCAGGGTGACTGGGCGCTCCCTTAGAGATAGGGTGAGGAGCTCAGTCACACGGGAGGAGCTCAGAGTAGAGCCGCTGCTCCTCCACGAGAGGAGCAAGTTGAGGTGGCTCGGGCATCTGTTCCGGATGCCTCCTGGGCGCCTCCTTCGGGAGGTGTTCCGAGCATGTCCCACCGGGAGGAGGCCCCGGGGAAGACCCAGGACACGCTGGAGGGACTATGTCTCTCGGCTGGCCTGGGAACGCCTCGGGGTTCCCCCTGAGGAGCTGGAGGACATGTCTGGGGTGAAGGAAGTCTGGGAGTCCCTGCTTAGGCTGTTGCCCCCGTGACCCGGCCCCGGATAAGCGGACGAAAATGGATGGATGGATGGATTGATATGAAAATTGACAATTGCAAAACAGTTCAAACAGACTCCCAAAGAGAGTCTAAAAACAATCACACACTATCATGTCCCAAAAGAAAGTTTTACCATGAAACCTCTCAAACTTTGGTCATGTTTTTGTTTTGTTTTTTATGTGATTTCTTTCATTCATTTGACAGTACGGCTACAGAATCACCAGTTTTGTGAATTTAGGCCATTGGGGTCCACACTTTACACATATGAATCTGGCTGAAAGAGCTGTGTGTTTTGTGTAAAGTCAGTCAATATATTCAAAGATTTTTGTTAAAAATATAATTTTTAAATAAATATACATTACCAATTTACAAATGGTATTTCACAGTATGTAAAAAAAAAATACTTGTGCTGTAGAAGCAAATACATCAAAATTGCTTTTGCAATATGAAATGTGCATACTGCATTATGGAAAATCAGACAAGGCCTTTACACATCATCACACAGTACTATTCATTCTGTGCTCTCTAGGTCCTGCTCCCTCAGGTGTCTGACAACTTCACTGGTACAAGTATTTTGGTACAATTATTTTGAGTAGATTAACAGTTGATACATTGTTTTTTGCTCTTTGTATTAATTATTTTTTTAGAAATGTATTCAACGTTTTTAAGAGCTCAGTTCTGATAAAACAAACATCCTAACCCTAACCCTAAGCAACTGGAAAAAAAATATCCAATTTTAATCAAGGTTAAGATTGAGTGAGTGCATTCTAATTGTCAATAGTATACTCTGGTCTTGTTAGTTGAGAACACATATTGCAAAAGCAGTGTAGATGTATTTGTTATCTTTCACATGAAATCACAGCATTCCATAAGCCAATATTAATACAGATGGGCTAAAATTAAAATGGTTAAAATGCAAAATTATGTTGTAATACAATGAGTTCTTGGGTTTAGTTAATAGTTGAAAATACCAGGTTGCAAAAGTGAGGACAGGAGCATGATGACTGTAGTTTTGTAAGGATTCACATGGTTCGGAGGGACGTAGTCAAGGCGAGGGGCAATTGTTATCAACAAAGGGGGCAATTAATTAATAAAAAAAATAATAATATATATATATATATATATATATATATATATATATATATATATATACATATACATGTGTCACTGGCACCTCACTGTGACACATGGAGTGCGTATACATGCACATCAATAACCCGGTTATTAGACATATCCCCGGTTATGTCAGTATTCGGGTTACTGCATATACATGCACCATCAAGAAACCGGAATACTCAAAAAACCCGATCATAACCGAGTTATTGATGTGCATGTATACGCACAGTGTTGGGAAGGTTACTTTTCAAAATGTATTCCACTACAGATTACATATCCCAAAATGTAGTTTGTAACGGAATCCATTAAATTACTTAAAGTGAGTAACGTAATCTGAATACTTTGGATTACTTGATATTGTCATGCTTTTTCACTTGTTTTGTATATTACCATTTGTCATTTAATAAATAAATAAAAAATATATATATTGTCATGTTTTTTAAAACTACATGAATGTAACAACCACATCATGAAAATTCGTGTTTGTTTAGTCTTTATTTGACCATATAAAAAAAATATTATTTTTATATGAAATCACAATTATGTCCACCTACTGTTAGTGTCATATTGTATTAGTTTAGTCCTAGTTTAGACCTAGTTTTAGTCCTAGTTTAGTTCGGGTTTAGTCCTGGTTTTAGACCTGGTTTACACCTGATTTAGTCCTGGTTTAGTTCTGGTTTAGTCCTGGTTTAGTTCTGGTTTAGTCCTAGTTTAGTTCTAGTTTAGTCCTGGTTTAGTCCTGGTTTTAGTTCTGGTTTTAGTCCGGTTTAGTCCTGGTTTATTCCTGGTTTTAGTTCTGGTTTAGATCTAGTTTAGTCCTGGTTTTAATTCTGGTTTTAGTCCTGGTTTAGCCCAAAATGTGAAAACAGGAAAATACCGCCATGTAATCCATTTATTTCAAGAAAGTAACTGTAATCTAATTACCACTCACTGAAACAGTAACTGTAACTGAATACAGTTACTCATAATTTGTACTCTGATTACGTAACTCCAGTACATGTAATCCGTTACTCCCCAACACTGTATACGCACTCATGGAATTCCCAGTGGTCTCCCATCCAAGTACTACCCAGGTCAAGTACTAGGTCCCGCCTTACTTACCTACTGAGATCTGACAAGTTCAGGCTTTGACAAGCCGATATGGCCACAATGTTGTCAATTCCACGTCCAACTGGAACTCCAGCCCAGCACCATTACACTACACCTGCCTCTATCCAAAAGGCTGCTATCACTAGACTATACTAGGCTACAGTGGACAGTATTCTAAGTTGTAGTTTTATTATTCACAGCCTTCTTCCACTAGTTGCTTCAGATATAAACTGTCGGAAAAAGGCACAGAAGCCAACGTAGTTAGTTAGCAGTTAGACTTAAAAGTTATTTTTTGACAAACCACTCAACATAAACAAAACAAATGAACAAAAAACACTCAACAAACAACTCACCGAAGATGTCCAGTCTTGTTTTTCATATATGGTGCCCTTCATGCAAAAGGGGGTAAAAAACAAACAAACAAACAAACAAAAAATAAATGATTGTGGGTTGCAAACAAGCAAATGTATAATAATTAAAAGTACTCAATTGCTTTTTTTTTAAGCTCCCGGGGTTTTCACATATCAAACAAATCACACATGCATAAACAACCTTATTAAATAAATAGTAACCTAGCCTGATAAAATATTGATAAAATATTCCTGGCCAAGGTCAGGACACGTGAAGCCCAAGAGTGCAGTCACACGCTCTGGTGGGAGGGGGCAGTGCAGCGGGATGTGGACAGTCGAAAAACACGAAGAACAAAACTCACGCTACGTCACTCCTTCAGGGGGAGAAGAAGCTGTTTTGGGTGTCAACACTGAACGTATGATTTATCCTAAATCTGCTTAAATGTAAGTATTACACCTCTGCGATGATCGTATTTGTCATTTTTTAGATTGTCATAGAAGCAGAATGTGGTCAATTTACTCTTTTGGCTTTTGCGACAGGCTGACAGGTTAGCATCATTAGCTGTCGAGCTAACATGGATTGATCAAACAATATTCTGTTTAGCGAAGGGAGTTTTATTTGTAGAATCTAGTTGAGAATTATTTAAAATTAAGTTAGTCAGAATGCCTGTAATATGTTGTCATTTTTTGTCCGCGTTGTTTGGATCGCTTCCTCTATGGACTTTTATGTGCTTTTATGGGCGTCATCCGCAACATGATTATAAATGGATAATAACTAGTCATGAATGAGATAAGGAGATGAACAGATATTGTTTTGTTTGTTTTTAGTCCGTTCTTTTACACGATGAGTCCATGCTTGGTTCTGTTAGGGTACTAAAATCTGGGCTAGGGTTCGGTTTTGCACTGAACATAAATATTGTTTTTTTTATTATTTTGCAGCAAAGCTCAGCAGAAAGCCTTGAGCATCACCAGTGACAGCCAGCCATGTCTTATGGTAAAACAGACAGTTATCGTCCTGTCCCACGGGACTTCCACTCCCTCACACAAACATGCAGCTCGAATATCCAGAAAATCACACAAAATAGTAAGTACCTACCTAATAAAGTTCTTCTTTGACAGATTGTAGTTGTGCCACTGTCACTAGCCTTTTAGGCATAATATTCTGAAATACAATTAAAGAATGAACATTATTCTTTCAGCTGGACAAATCAAAAGTATGGTGAACCAACTCGGGACCAGGCAGGACACCACCACACTCCAAGAGCAGTTGTGCGTAGACTTATAGTCATTGACTGCAGTCTGTAAGCTGTTACAGATTTGCAGTTGTCACTGATAAAACACAGTTGTTTTCTGCTTAAAGTAATTGCATTTCAAATGTCATTCCAGGCAACAAATACAACACTCTACCAACCAACTGGCCAAAGAAACCAACAAGCACCTTAAAGAACTGGGCTCCATTCCTCCACCTTTATCTCCAGCTGAACAAGTAAGGATAAAATTATTGATGGATATGCTTTTTTTTGTGTGTGTGTCTTTGTGTGACCACTGTACTTTTTGGATGTTCTTATCATTTAGCTTAATTCTCTTTTCATCTGTACTAGAGGCAACAAAAAATCCAAAGGGAGCGACTTATGAATGATTTCTCTGCGGCTCTGAACAACTTCCAGGCAATACAACGTTTAGCAGCTGAGAAAGAAAAGGAGTCGGTGGCTCGAGCAAGAGCAGGATCCCGTCTTTCAGTAAGTTTAAGAGGGATATAGGCATTGCTACACAGTTAAAACAATATTGTTACGACTCATTGCTCAATTGGACCAGTAACCTGAATGACAGCCCCACTTACGTGGAGCCAGGGACACCGGGCGCAGGTGCCCCTGATTACCAGGCTCAGCCCCACAACGGGATGGCAGGGGCCGTCACACCCCCCCCTCTTAGTGAGGACAGTTCAGGTGTGTCCTCTGCTAACCCCCCCTTCCGGAGCCTGGCACCACAACACGTTCTTCTTTTTTGGGGTGGGGTTTTAAACTGTAGCGCGAGACAGTGTGTCCACTAAAAGGTTGTCTCAGCCTTTAATATGTTTGATGTCTAAGATGAACGATTGCAGGAAATGTTGCAACACAGGTTCTACTGCAAACTGTTAACTGCTTTCTCTTCACAGGCTGATGACCCCTTTCGTGATGAAAAACTTGTGTCATTTGACAGGTAGTATCACATTAAAGAGTCTCATGTCATTGATAACACAGACATACATATGTATACATACATAATAATGAATCTTTGAATGGTAGCCAGCCATTATAATGATAATTTATAATGCTTGCCATGGCACACATTTTCATTAACCATTGGTCATGCATTTGATATCTTATCTTGATTTGTTTTAAAGTCAGGAGGACTGGGGTCAGATGACCACTCAGACGGAAGAAGTAGCCATTACTGAGGAGGACCTGGAGCTTATCAGAGAGAGGGAAACCAACATCAGACAGCTTGAGGTATGTCTGTATGCTTTATTGGTGTTTAACAATATTACATCAAAAAACACCGTCCCAGCTTGTATGTACAGATTATAAAACTTTTGTAAGAGAAAATGCCTGTTACTTAAATTTGAGCTCAAACTAATATATACACTATTACTCTACTGCATATTTTATTTTATACCATCTACTAATGGCATTTTGTTCCTTTTTTTCCAGTCTGACATTTTAGATGTCAATCAAATCTTCAAAGATCTAGCAGTGATGATCCATGACCAAGGAGAGATGATTGGTAAGTGACTCTGACATTATTTACTCTAAACAGTATTCACCTTTCTTTCTTTGTGTTTTACCGTTGAGTTTCTTTATATATATATATATATATATATATATATATATATATATATATATATTATATTATATATATATATATATATATATATTTAATATTTATTTTTTTTTTTAACAAATGCTTTTAATGTTGTTTTTTGATATATGCTTGTTATGGTCCTCTGTAGATAGCATCGAGGCAAATGTGGAGAATGCTGAGGTCCATGTGGAGAGAGGAACAGAACAGCTTCAAAGAGCAGCCCATTACCAAGTAAGTTTACGCCAATTTGATATATACAGGGGAAACACGCATTCATTATAATAATACTATGTTTTTATGTACACAGCAAAAGTCCCGCAAGAAGATGTGCATTCTGATAGTGGTTTGTGTAATAGTTATTGTCATACTAAGTCTCCTGATCTGGTGGGCAGCAACAAAGTGAGAGCATTTGTACAAAATCAGTGCCACAAAAATTTGCACCTCTCCATTGTAAGGACCTGACTGTTGTCTTAACATTTGCAAGAAGATATATTTTGATGATGATCACTTCTTAGAACACAATTTTGCTTTGATGTGATCAGTGCTCATTGATTGAGCTTCTGCTGCAAAAAAATGTATGATTTTCTCTTTGTCTATTTCATTTGTTATTTTTATTCGCTGCACTTACATTTACTGTCACTGTGTTGATTGTAAAATGTCATGGAATCTAGTTAATTATAGATAAATTACAAAAAGAATGTGGGGATATACACACATTTTGTATCTGAATTCTGATCCATATTTTAAGCTTGTGGAAATTTATGAGAAGTCACATTACGTAAACAATAATAGATTAATGTACCTGTAATGGTATCTACATGTTGTACAATATGAAAGTTATACTTATGACCAATATGAAACACATTGTAAATACTACATTCTGTTGCATTATACCTGTAATTATGCATTTCAGTTCAAGTAATCCACTACACTCAACCATTTTATTAGATTTCTATGACTTTTCTCTGCTCAATAAACGTCTAACACTGTCTTATTTTCTCATTTGTCACCCAACATCCCTTTCAACTGACCATAGTCTTCGTTTCCACACAATAAGCAGTGTGGTTTTGTATTTGGGCTAGTCTGCCCTCTAGTGTGCACTTGCTAGACGTTATCATGAAATTATTTAATATTATATTTTTTGTTGTACATTCATAGGACCTATAAAGGTCTCCGATATATAATTTATTACACATTTAGTTCATTTTTAAGTTGGATAATAAACAACAATGGCACTAAAATAACTTTTTTTTTTTATGAAAATGTTACACTAGTCAACCTACAGAGGGCGCTGACATGACCGATGTTGTGACGTAAAAACTATGCGACTCTTAACCCAAAACAATCCACGGGAACTCGACAGTGGTGTAGTGCTGAAAAGCAGCAACTTGGAATTGGTATAAATCAATTTTTTTGTCCATTTTAAGTTATAAAATGCCAGTGTGCCAGTTTTTTGTCCAAGGCCGCTGTAAATTTGGTGATAAGTGTTGGAATGAACATACTAGAGAAGGAGGAAGAGGCGGCGGCTACAACAGCAGTAACCGCGCTCCTCCACCGCAGCAGCAGTCCCGAGGCGGCGGCGGAGGAGGTGGGTTACTACGGATTTTCTACGGCTATTCTTTGTGTGTTGAATGGCGTTGTCTTTCTAATAATACAAATAAACAAGCTACACGGTTGTAGATACTGTATTCGTCTTTCACAGCCTCTCAATGTAATACATTTTCCTAACATCTGATTGCAGGATTTAGCAATAGGGTTTGGGTGAATCCTTCCCAACAGAGAGGGGGATACGTGCAGCCTTCATCTTTTGGCTCTCGGGACAATGATCAGTGGAGCCGCAGAGGAGACGGTGGAGGTGGCGGCTCAGACTGGGGCAGAGGAGGTGGAGGAGGTGGAGGAGGTTTTGGGAGAAGAGAAAATATTAAGAGTTCTGAATTTGGATTTTCACAAAATCGATTTTCAGCTCTCGACTCTCCAAGCACATTTGATAAAGGCAGAAGAGCTGCTACAACACCAAGAGGCGATGAAGACAGTAGCAGAATATGGTTTGTTTGCTCAGCTTTTCCAATTAAACTTGATAAACAACATCACATGACATCCCACAGTATTGCTCTTTCTGTTTATTAATTAGTGAAACTATTCAAACCGACATGGAGGTCTGGGAGAACTCAGGGCAGTGGGGCTTTTCAACTTATTCTCACGCCAAGAATCCACTCTCTGGTTTGTAGAGTTGCATCCTGCCAATCAGTTTGCTTTTGTAGCCATGTAGATAATTGCTTTCTAATATTTAAAATTCCTTCCAGGTTTTTCAGACCTCTCCCCAGAAGAGCTAAGACTAGAGTATTACACTTCAAGAGCCTCAGGAAACCTGCAAAATTATGTAGGTCCACAACATTTTTCAATTATTAATCCATTACTGATGGTTTTCACTTGCTTAGAAAAGTATTTACTCTTTGATGTAGATCAATGGGGTAAATCAGCTACTCACCCAGTGGAGAAGTAGAGTTCAGGAACTCAAAGTAATGAATGCCTCAACCCGAGCAGCTTTGGTAAGATATAAAACATACATCTCTCCCGTTTTACAATTTTACATGGGTCTATATAATGACTGCTTCCTTTTTCTTGCAGATAACGGAACTAAACAGCTCTGTGCCACAAGAATCCTCAACAGGCTTTGGGTCAACAGTCACCGGATCAGCATTTGGCAGCAAAAGTAGTTGATATATTAAAATTCAAATGCTTGGCTAATGTAGAGCTATCTTTACAGTTTTTTTTTTCTTTTCTAGGCTTTGGAGCATCAGACCAGCTAAGTAGTTTTAGCTTTTCTGCAGCCACTGCGACTGGATTCGATACTCCTTCAGTTTCTTCCTCCACAGGATTTGGCAGTGCCCCCACAGCACCACCCCCTTCTGGTTTTGGTAGTGCCCCGTCAGCACCACCACCCTCGGGTTTTGGTGGTGCCTCCTCAGCACCACTCCCCTCTGGTTTTGGGGCTACACCTGCTCCTTCAGCCTCCACGTTTTCTTTTGGTGCCTCAGACAAAACCTCCACCACAGCACCTTCAGGCTTTGGTTCTGCATCAGGCTTCAGTTTTTCTTCCGGCACTGGAGGAGGGTTTGGCACTGGCTTTGGGCCTCCTCCCACCGTTGGAACTACAAGCGCATTTGCACAACCAAGTACATCTGTGCCTGCTGTCCCTGCCAGTGGAGCATCAGACTCTCTGTTTTCTACTGAAAGCAGTTTGACTTCAGAGGAGCTCGATCAGTTCAAAGCTAAAAGATTTACACTTGGTCAGATTCCACTGAAACCTCCTCCTGCTAACCTGCTTGTAGTGTAATTCATGTAAATTGTATGATGAAAGTAATGTGAAAAATTCTTCATACAGCATAACTCAATAATGTAAATTTTTCTTTGAGATACTTGGATTTATTAAGATTTTAAACAATATCTTTGCATAGTAAATATTTTGTGTCATTAAATTATTTTATTTTCAAATAGTTATTTGTTTTTATTTTTAAAAATTAATTACTAGTTTCTTATATTGTTGACTGAAACATAAAGCCCTTAAAGTGTTCATAGCCCATGCTAACACAGAAGCACAGTAACTGCAAAAGACAGAGTAATTGCATTTAACAATCTATCACAAGTTTGTTTGGTCTTAATGGTTATGGGCTTGGTTCACCCAATTCCTCTAATTACAGTACTTTATCGCTTTGGTTCATAAGTGAGGGAAGAATAGATCATGAGACTGACACACAGATCAGTACAGCATCCTGCAGTGATGTGGTTGCTGTATTTGAATATTGTAGAAGGAGATGAGTGAGACTGCAAAGTTCTTGATTTACCAGTAAATTATGTTCCTATATTTTCACCTGCGGTCATGAGCTTTGGTAATGACTGAAAGGACAAGATATGTTTTCACTTTTCCCTGCAGGGTGACTGGGTGCTCCCTTAGACACAGAGGAGCTCAGTCACATAGGAGGAACTTAGAGTAGAGCCACTGTTGAGCAGCTGTGCCTAATGTGGTGGAACTGCAGCTGCCTTCTGGACGCCTTTCTGAGCAGGTACACTTTTGTAAGGGAGGGAGGCCTCTGTGAAAACCCGAAACAAAATGGAGGGACTATATCTCTCAGCTGGCTTGGGAACACCTCGAAATTCCCCCGGAGGAGCGAGAGGAATTGTGTGTGGTAAGGGAAGTCTGGGTAACCCTGCTTTGACTACTGCTTTTGGCTCCGGCTAAAGCAGAAAGCTTTTTAAGTTTTTCACACTGGTCAAAACCACAAATGTTTTATGATGTTTAATAAATACAATTATGACGAATGTCATGTGTAAGTCTAATAGTGTTAAGATTTATATTAATAAATAAAATTATTAATTACAATGTGTCTTACTTGAACATTTCGGTTGCATTTGAGCTGCAGTTCTCAAATATAACCACACGTGTGCGCTCCTTATCCCCTCCCTTGTCTCTATCTTCAGCAAAGGACGCACTCTACAGCCGCGCCTCGGACGCAGTGTGACCAGGAGCTACACCGTCCACATACAAGCAGCAACATCAAGAACAAACGATGACATTAATACACAGAGCACAAAAGCAGACTCTTATCTGACCACCTAAGCGCTGCCACTGCATCGCCGCTCCCCGGGTGAGTGTCTTTTTTTCTTTTGTACAAGGTGCGCTAGTACCGTTTCTGCACCGGTCCTTAGCTGGGAAAGGCGGCTCATTCTGAAGATGCAAAGCGGATTTGCAAAGTCTTTGAAATGATATTAAGTGAAAGGCAAAAGCCTCTTCATATAGCAGTTGGTCCGTCATATTAGCCACATATGTCATCACATACAGGTTGCAGCATACACTGATAGAGCATGGCACGCCATCACCAGTGCAGACAGCTTATTTAATTTTGCCGACTTGCCGGTCAGTGTGAAAAAAAAAATATATATAGTCTGCAAATGTCTTTCAGATTTACTTTATTTTACTAGCATCACATTCAGTCTTTATAATTCTGATGTCCCTCTGCGCACTTATCTAGCCCAAGCACTAGGTAGGCCTTCACATGAGGAAACCAAATCGGGTTTGGGTCACCCTCTTCAACTTAGTTTTTAACAAGCAAGTAGCACACACTCTCTAAATTTAGTTGATGAAATAGGCAATCTCTTTTTACTGTAACAGATTTTTTACCATCACAGCAGTAGCTCAAATCCATTATATTGGAAGTGAGACAACAAATTGACCTAGACTTGAGTGGAAAAAGGATAATTACATTCTATATAAGCACATGGGCCGTTTTTAAAAGGTTCACTTCCTTTTAATCATACCTTTATAGTCTATTAAGTCTACTAAGTATTTCTTTCAAAAAAAAAAAAAAAAAAAAAATTGTGACAGCTTAAGTCATAGAGTTTCTCACTACATTTAAAAAAAAAAATCTTTCTCAGAAATGATGCAGTCTTCTACACAAATGCTTAATGTTTGCATGGTTGTTGTACCACTCTAAAAAACATTTCCTTACCATTTTAGATTTAATTTTTACATCATCATTACCTATGGCATTATGTACTCACTGACATGTTTGACTTTTAGAGTGTTTTTTGGGGAGGGAAAATTGATGCCACGTGTCCAAATTTCTGCAGTATTGATGACCAAGCATCTGTCCATCCACAACAGAGTTTTTGTTTGCCTGACACTACTTATAGCTCAACTTAAACCATTCAAATGAGATTAACTGTAATTACCTGCTCCAAGTTAAAGCTGTTTCTGCTTTACAGCATGCTGTTCTCAGACTGTTCAGGCTGGTACCCCCAACATTGTCATGTAACTGATCCCGATGTTTTGTATTAATTAAAATGTTTATTGGAAAGGAACCATTTTGTCAAGATACAATAACTCAGTTTTAAGTTCCAGCTTTGTTTTGGCTGAATGTCACTGGATAGAATTACAATGTAGTCTTAATAATTATTGTACCATTTGACTCATTCTGCCATCAGTAATGTAATTATTTTGTAGAAAAATTTGACTTACTAGTTATTGCATTTGTCTATAAACTCATGATGATCTTGTGTCATACTATGAATCCTGTACCAACATTCAGATAGGCCAAGCTCCTGCTGAGGTGTGAGGGCCTGACAGATGGCTGCATGTACATTACACACCTACCACAGCTCTGAAAATGGCCATGTGTAGTCTGTTTGTTTAACATTTACCATAACAAGCTAAAAAAAATGTAAATTATGTCTTAGTGTTGACTTTGGTGAGAAAGGCATCAAAACCAGTTCACCTACCCTGAGGTCTGCGTTTAGCCTTTATGTTCTGGGCATGAACTTCAAAATTGTTTGGTGAAATTGTTCTGGCATGTTCGTCTGATGGTGTCATCCTTTGAAATGCTGCGGGCACTAAGGACAAACTTGAATGTAAGGCTTTACCCTTAAAATCTGTCTCATCTTCTGTGACCAGTCAAGAATCATCACAGAAGATAAAATTTCTATTAAATTCCTGGCAGACAATGGACCCTCTTCAAAAAAAATAAAATAAAATAAAAAGAATAAACCTGAAAAGAAAGAGGAAGTACCAACTATGATTTTTCACTTTGAGTATATTTTTTCCTGACGTCCCCTGTCCTTTCCAACAGCGCTGCTTCTACTCTTTGGCCTTCCACCAGCATCAACATGAGCAGTGTTGGTGGTCTGAACGTGGTGCGCTCCTCCAGTATCTCAGGGGCCATGTACAACCTGGAGAAGAGCCCTGGCAGCGGAGGGCCTGACACGGCATCACTATCCGGAAACAAGAAGAGGAGGTCCAGCTTGGGAGCCAAAATGGTGGCTATTGTAGGTCTGTCACAGTGGAGTAAGAGCACACAGCAGCTCAATCAACAAGGTAGGTACAGGATACTGTCTTTGGATATTAAAATGTAATTTGCTTCACTGGAGCTTATTAAAAACTAAATAAAAAGTAACATATGCATATGCCAGTAACTTCAGACACCTGTTGGATTGTAGGAAAGATTTAAAACAACACATAAGAGATATTGTTAGTTGTTACTACATCTGCTTATCTAGAATTTAAAGCAACCACATCTGTTAATTCCATTGGTATTTTGTTTGCAGCCCCAACCAAATACTGTTTAATTTTCCTAGCCCTGAGGGAGACAGCACTGTGTTTAGTGTGAAGAATAAAGTTAAAGGTACACTATGTAACTTGTCTCCTTGGAGATGTTATGCCTGCAATATTCCAAAGTAGGCATTAACCTTATAAATCTCCTTAGACAGAAGCAAGAGATGCCACCAGTTTAATAACATATTATGGAACATTACAGGCAAAGCAGTAGCATCTCCAGCATCTCAGGCTGAAAAGTTACACAGTGCCCCTTTAACTTTATCATTCCATTAGCAATCATATAAAAAAAGCTTGTTGCGAACCTGTCATGATTCATGTTTTGTGATATTGAATTCACAGATTCTCTGATTGCATCCTTTTCTGTATCCCTTTCTCTCTTTGTGGACTGAACAGTGGTTTAAAATAGTATCTGCAGTTTAAAATAGAGTCAGTTATCGACAGGAAGCACATAGTCAGACATAGGTAAACTTGAGTAAATATTGTATTATGCTTCTGATATGACTTCACTTCTTTCTTTGGCCTGGGCCGTTTAGCGTATTGCTTACATTCCTGTTGTACATGATGTTTTGTCCTTGTGTGAACTGGAGCTAACCTTTTATAGAACAGTGTGTCCATCTCCACCGATCTGCTGAGTGATTTCTCTCTGTGTAGTTTTGGTGCTTAGCTCTTAGGAAAGGTGTACTGTAACAAGTGTGTTCTGTACTTAAATGTGTAGTGTTGGTTGCCATTAGATGGAGAGAGAGGAACATAAGTCAGAGGACATCTCATAACGGTGCTTGCAAACTTGGTAAAAAAAAAAAGAAAAAAACTATTGCAATTATGTAGCTGTTTATCAGACCTGATCCCACACCAGTATTACTATTGGTAAGCCTGTCACGATAAGTACTATATTGACTTTCATTCAATATATGAAAGTTGGAACAATATTTTTGGCAGTCAGTTTTTATCGTGTTTCATTTTCTTTGCACTGCTGGTAGATTTTTGGTAATTTTTTGGCTATATGATAAGTTTTAAGATGTAAAACATTGAATGGAAAACTTCTGTGACTCATTACAGATGCAAACTGTAAATTAAGTGTTTCATTCTGCAATTTACACTTTTTAACATTTAATATTTTGCTTTTTATAGACTGCAATTGCTAGTTGTGGGCACTGTGAAGTATGCTTGAATACAATCCACAAAAACTATAGGGTACATTACAGTAGGAATTACAGCACATCTAGAGGCTACATAATCTTCGGTTAGTTTTCTAAGTTGAAGTTGAGAATAGCAACTTCACGGTCCAACAAGCTCATTCTCAAGAATACAGTGTAAGAAAGTTCTTCTGTACTTGTCATTCTGTCACCTCATGTAGCACTGCAGATTGTGTTTGAAAGTAAACCTGTGAACACACCAGCATTGTGTCCATCTGATGTGTTTCCTGCTGTCTGTAGCTTTAACTGGAGCTGCACAGAGGAGAGCAGAACAGAGATCATGATGCAAGTAGGGATGGGACAATAAACAGTAATATTATTTATCGTGAGGTTAGGGTAATAGATAGGGTAGACAATAATCATATTTGGAATATTTTACATAATCCTGATAATCGCCAACAAATATAGTTGCTACTGTATCATCAGAATGTGCAGAAAAAAGTTACTTCTTATTGATGTTTTCTTCTAGGTGGTTGTTTTCAGTTACAACAAAGAACAATTCTATAACAGTTGTTTAAAGGTGCACTGTGTAACTTTTTGGTTGGAGGCCCATCACCTTGTTTCTATGGAAATATCACTGCTCTGCTTGTATGACATTAAACTGTTTTTCCTTACAGTTATTGAATAATAGGTAATTTTATAGCTCAAAAATACCTAGAAAAACAGGCATTCTGACTGTGAGTGGGGTTGCCTCTCCACAGATCTGACCTGCAACTTGGTCTTTGGTCTCTATGAAGATATAAAGGAAATGCCATACTGTGAAGCATTCCAGACAAAGCAATCACATCTCCATAAAGAAAAGCATTTCATGGACCCTCCACCAGAAAAGTTACACATTGCACCTTTAAATATGGAACTTATTCATAATATTAAAAGTATAATTAATCATATGCATAACAGCAACATTAATAACTATCGTGATGTAATCATAATTATTTTAACCATGATAATCATGACACCAAATTTCAATATTTTACCATGCCTAGATGCAAGACACAAGCTTCTTGAACACTGTGACACACTTCTGCACCTGACCAAACCAATGAGCACCAGCTGAAGATGTTGACAATAATATTGTGGTATAAAGTGTCCTTCATAGTGTATTACAGTATGCATGTGTCAAAATGCATTATTTTTGGGGAGAAACTATAGGCAAAACAATTATTTTCTTAATTTTTTGGTCAGTTTTGGCCACTTAGTACATATGCCTGAGGAAACAATAAAATTGTCCACTTTGCACTTTTTTTTTTACTTTGAACTTGCAGCCACAGAGTTATATGGGACATTGTAACTTTCTCAGAATGCATTTTTCCTTAAAGTTGCACCTACATGCACTAGAATTTTCAATCTTGTACTTGTTTTAAGATTTGGACAAAATGTAGAAAATTATGTTTGTTATCTAATTACAATTTACATGTATTCTCCTCCGCATTCTCCCCAGCATTTTCACACATGCAGCATTGTCCATTATCTCCAGTCTTCATTTCCTTCTACTTTTTCAGAATTACCAGCTCAGTACAGTACCACTTCTGTACAGCAAAAAGTAGTTGAAAAAAATGAATCTTGCACAACTAAAGACATGTCTGGCCCTTTAGTCAGCTTAAAGGAGCACTGTGTAACTTTTATGGTGGAGGGTCTGCTACTAGCTTGTCTCTATGAAGAGGTTATTGATTTGCCTGGAATGACCCACAGTATGTGATTAAACTCATATTGCCAAGGAGACATGTACGTTGGGCCACCGTGCAAAGTTACATATCAGATCTGGGAAGAGGCTAAGCTACCCACAGTAAAAAATGCATGATTTTCAAAACCTCTAATTGAATAAATGCACAATAGATATGTTTAAAGCCATTCTGTGGAACATTCCAAATACATTTTCAGGAAGATAAGCAGATGGCAGGTGCTGCACTAGAAAAGTTACAGAGTGAACCTTTGGGGGGTGTGGCAAAATCTCCCAAACTGCAGTCACACCTGCAGGGGAGTTCATGCCAAAACAACTATATGCAGAAAAAATATTGCAATGTATTTAAATAAAGAATCTTCCGCTAGCTCACTCACTGACTTCTCTTTCCTGCTGTTCTATATAAATCCTTATAATCTAAATTAAATGATCAGCTAATATAACTAAGTGACTAAAGGCCTACAGCCCTACTGTATGCATTTGGTCAGAATACATACTGTAATATTAAAATATATGATATATTTAAGTGTAGAGCTGTTTATCCACATAATAACACACAGTGAAAAGCTAAGGTGCTGTCTACATCATATTGCCACCCAACATTGCAAGTTAGCTAATTTTGCAACAACATTGTGAGTTGATATTATGTTAGATCCATAAACATTCCCTGGACTGGTCATTGATCGATGATATTGGTTGTGGATTAGTCCATTCAAAATGTATTGAAAGACAATGACCATTTCATAGTAATTACTATTTGGTACAATCCTTTGCAGAGTCACTGCTAGAAAATAACAATACTGAACATATGTGGATCACATTTAGATATGAATTTTTGAAGTTTTCAAAAACATACTATCTATGCAATAAATCAACTTCCTTGAATTTTAATACTAAATGGACCATTTAATTTCAAATTTATTTTGTGATTTCTGCCCAAACATCACTTGAGCTATTATTTCATAGTGATATTGCTGTAAAATTGTAATAAAAAATTATTCACTTATTTTCAGTCAGACGTCTTGCCAGATATTGTCCCTGCAGAACACTCCACCATTCCAGGTACACTAATCGCTTGTCATATAAAGTAAATAGGCCAGATTAAGTGGACTCATGACGCAAACCAGTAAGCCCATTGGTAGTGATAGTCCAAAACACAATGTACAACTGAAATACTCCACTATAATTCTGCAATTGTCACTTTCCTCCACTGGTTTTGTAACAGACATATCAAGCGTATTTTGAAGCTGTCTGTGTGCTATTTATTGCTTTCTATTATTAGTTGTGTTGAAGAGAAAGCACAGCAGTATCTCAGGTCTAATGGATGACTCACTCTGGCTTTATCTCCTGAGCAGGATAATCCCATAGTGTTAAAACGAGGTCTAGCTCCTCACAGCTGTGTATGTGAGGGCACCCATATTCAACAAGGAAGTATTTGTGTATTTGTGTGTTTGAACTGTGGTGTGACCATGATGCTAGATCAACGGATATTTGGACCACAGTAGTGCCAGTTTTAGCGGAGCCAAAAATAGCACTTTAGTGAGTTGCAGTTATTGCTCTACTGGTATTTCATTTTGCATGACTCCTACTGTACACTTATTAGTTAGGGTAAGGCTGCATAGTGCATAATGTGTAAAGTTATAGAATTTTTAGTATCACTAGAAGCAGTAACAAAAAGGAGGCACTCTCTGTTTCTCACCCTGGTCTCTCACCCTGGTTTAGATTTGTTTATACTTTGGTTTAGTTTCTGTTGCTTTTGACTTTTTTATGCAGTGAAAAAATATGTGTAAATGTGTACATCAAACCTTTAATGTCAAAATGCATACTTAAAATCTCTGTCTATAAATACTTTATAAAAATAATAGTAATGTTTTATTCATATATAGTTCTTCTCCAGATGCTTGAAGCCTCTGTAGGAAGAACACAACAATGGAGTCTCCCAACCAAGTAAACAAGCCCAGTCCTGCTTAGGATCTGAGATAAAAAGAGATTGGGCACTGACGAGGTGGTATGGCCAACATACATACTTGTTGGATGTTGTACCTGTTTTTAACAAATCTTTGGCTCTTATTTAGAAATGATGCATAAATAAGTTTAGTGAAAGCAGGAGGTTGTCCTGGCACCAGAATTAGCCCATTAGATGCAGAATTCATCACAATGAAATTACCTCTGATGTGATTATGCTGTAGACTGCAGCGTTTGCCACAGTGCCTGCAGATATTTTGTTGTGCAAGGTGTAGAGGTTTCTAAGCCATTGTCTGTATAAAATTGAAGAGCATAAGATTTTTGGGCAGTACAATTGAAACGTGCACTATGTAACTTTTCTATTAGAAGGTCTGCTATCTGCTTTTGCTTATTATTGCCCAGAATCTAGGCATCTAGGCCCTAGATCAGGGGTCTCCAGCATGTAGCTCAGGAGCTACCAGTAGCTCTCCACCCCCTTCCAAGTAGCTTGCCAAGGGATTTCTGAATTGCACATATTGTGCTGAATAAGTAAAATTTGATTTATTAAATGCTTTTTACCATTGTACATGTATCACTTTGATGCCTAAATTTGTACCCTAATAAATGGATAATGGTTTGTTTTATAGGCATTTAACTGTAGCTCATCTAAGGCTTGCTGTGGCTCTTATACATACAAAATTTTTTGTGACTGCTAAAAGTGGTAGCTCTCTGGCATTTTTGTTTTGTGAAAGTAGCTCACCAGAGGAAAAAAGCTTATAGACCCCTGCCCTAGATGGTTAAACTGGATGCCATTAAGCTTATCCATCTAGCATTTATTTCCAGGTGTTTTTAGTTCCTGATGCAGAAAGATACCTTAATAGAAAAAAAACTTAATAGAATGCATTCTTAGTGGGCTTGCCTCTCCAGAGATCTGACCTGTAACTTGTCTTAGCATGACCTGTTTCCATGACTGCTAGTAGCAAAGCACAGAATGGGCATATTTTTATTACAAAATTTCGGGGCCTTTAGTTGAACAATTATAACAATACTGGTGTCTGAAATGCCATCATTATAGAAGACTTGCCATGTACTAGGTGCTATTGCATTATTGGAAGTTAAGTTATTTGGATCCACATTCCTCTTCTGAATCATTTATAAACACACACAAATCAATCCCACTGCTCTACCTTTAGTCCAAATTTAGCAAAGGCACTACTGTCGAAGATACCACAACAGATCTTTTATCTACCCCTAACACCCGTCCCTGGTTACTGTTGCTATGCTTGCCGGATTGTTGCCGTCACCGGTGCATTCGATTGGCACGTCAGCGTGTCCAGGGAGTCTAAAAACAGCTTTCTATATTACAGCATATAATGAGAGGGGCTTCATCAGTGCTGCCTTGAAATGTCAGGGATGCTCTAATGATTACACAAACACATGCCTACATGCACATCACGTGTTTTGACCTAGTATGAAATAGTCAATACCTTTATGCAAGTTATATAATTGTTTTTTTCTTTTCCATCTCTATCTTATTTTAGTTTGTATGTGCTTGCTATTGTCTCATTACTTCAAGAATTAATTGTTTGACAAAGGAAATGCAGTGCAATGCAGTAAATGCTAACTTATGTAATAATGTTAGTGTAGTCATTGAACTTGTTGCATTTACATGTTATATAAGTATGTATGGATGCACTGTAAATCCAATTGTCTCCACCATCTACACCAAGAAGGTTGTCCAATATAATGAGTATTATTAAAAGATAATTATGAACAAAGGGATTGTTGTTAGGTCCGGTTCAACAAATACAGAATAGACTTGTTTGTGATTAAGAAGTGAGAGTCATGCAAAGGCCACAGCAGTGAAGACAGAGGGGGAGAAGTCTTGTGCACCGGCCGCTGCTCTTGGTGCAATGCAGAGCAGATTGCCATGGAAACGCACAGAGGGAAAGCGCAGATGAGGAGGAGGGGAATAAATAGGATGGAGCAGATCAGCGGTGCTTCGTACTGTGTTAGATGAAGGTGGGGTGGAGGGGTGTTCATATCAAGTGCAATGACAAGATGGAGATCCACTTGAGTTGCGTTGTGTACACTCTAGTCCAGGTTTTTACCATAGCAAATTTTAGGCTTTTTCTACAGTTGATTTTATGTTTAATTTATTTGAGTCTGGGACCAGCACAATGTAGAACTGTGATACTGATAGCCCCGCAATTGTTAGTGCCAATTTCCTCCATTCTGTATTATGTTTGCATTTATTATGATAATTATTTTTATTATTTGATGCCATTTTCAAATGCAAACTTCTCACTGTAAAGGTTCACTAATTAGATAGTTATTACCCTAAAGTTTAGACAGATTTTGACATCACTGGCACATTTAAGTGAGCTATGGCTAAATCGCTGTGTCATTATTAAGTGTATTTTGAAATGATGGAAGGAGGCCGAGACTGTCGCCATGGTGCCATTTCTCAGGTGGCATTGTCTGGTCCTGATCTGATGCGGAGGTTGCCATGGCAGCAGGTGCATGGGGTCTGTCTCGATGTGATGCTACAAACACACAGACACACAGCCTGCAGGATTAAAAATAGAACGCTGCATGAGTATCGTTCTGACCCCCTGTGTCTGTCATTATTCCGTTTTGGGCTCAGCTTTTCTATACCTGCTCTTTCATACTTGTCACTTTCCCTGCTCCTATCCTATACAAACCAAAATATGCAAACAACTTTTTTTTTTAAATAATGGCTGTAGTTTTTCATTTACCTGTGTGCCTTCCTTATATATATATAGGATGTTTTATTCTTGAATGTGCTCACGGAAATGGATGTATTTAAGATAAAAGCTGACTCACTTGCACTCCACTTTGTCATATGTTTTATGCAGATAATGGGACAAAGAAGCTGCGCAGCACGATCCGGCGGAGTACAGAGACAGGTTTTGCGGTGGAGATGAGGAGCAGAGTGACGCGGCAGGGCAGCAAAGACTCAACTGACGGCAGCACCAACTCCAACAGCTCTGATGGAACGTAAGTTACCAGAGTTATACTCCCTCTCACACAGCCAATAGATTTATAAAAAAGTGTGTCTTGCTTCCAGGTTTGTCTTCCCAACCCCACGTCAAGCTCCAGACAGGCAGTTCAGTGACTTTCTGGACGGACTAGGTCCTGCTCAGATTGTGGGTCGGCAAACCCTAGCTACACCCCCCATGGGTAAGTCTTGAGCCATGGATGAAGAACAAACTTGAAAAATTAACAGAATCTTAACTAGACTACACCGTCCATTCCTATTTATTCAGATATATAAAGCAGACCTCCAAAATATTAACCTGCCTCCAATTCATTGTTAGACAAACAAAATATTAAAATAGATTTGAAGGTAACCAGAAGAATGAGCAGAACATTCTCACAAATGGTACAGACTGTTCTCAGTCTGCTTCTGTGCTCATTTATTTTTTATGATAAACATGTTGTGGAAGATGCTAAGCATCCTATGTAGTTTTTATGTGTCATTGACTTTTGGGTGCTAAATATAGAAAGTATACTTACCGTGTTTTGTTGTTGCTGCACAATCACTGTCACATTTTAAATATCAAAGGTAGAAGGACTTATTTCTACCATTTGGTATAAAGATTCATACAGATGCAATTTGATAATAAATAGAATCATTTATATTATTTATCTATCATTTTATATCTTATCTCTTTATCTTAATAAGAAGGTTTTAACTTCTAACTCTAACTTAAGTCAAATTTAAGAGGATTCATGAAGAGATATAGAGTAGTTATGTCTCCCTCTGCTGGTAGAAACCTGAATTTGACGTGCAGTTGCATTGCTGTGGAGTCTGCTGCTGAACATTAGATTAAACTAGATTAGATTAACCATTTCTGCCTCTTCACAGAGAAACGAATGTTAGACAAGCAAGGGCACATAGGCACATAAAACACTATACACATTTATATCACTACACTTCCACAATCCTAAAACAGCATCAACACCGCAGTAGCATTTTTAATACACTACAATTATTGTTTTTAGTAGAGAACTCATCATAGGAACCATGGAGATCTTATATCTATTCACCTTACAGTCTGGCACTTAGTATTGTTTACTGACAACAACCTAAACCTTTTTATGAAGGATGTGAGTAGTAGAGTTAGTTGCCATTATATTTTATATATTATAGATTATATTGCTGACCCTACTTCACCACTGTCTCCTCAAACATTTTGAGTAAAATGTGCGGGAGAATGGTAAGGAGAAACAGGGTCAGAAAAATGTATGCAAGTTTTGAATCATTGTTCTAGGGGATGTTTATGTTGGCATGGTGGACAGAGGAGGTCAACTGGAAGTAGAAGTCACTCAAGCCAGATGCCTGACCCCAAAACCGGGCTCCAAGAATTTACCAGGTAACAAGACTTTGTGAATCACTGAGTTTCCAAACAGACATTACAATTACAGTCGTTTTGTCTCTGCAGCAACCTATGTGAAAGTGTATCTTTTGGAAAATGGCATGTGTTTGGCCAAGAAGAAAACCAAAGTAGTAAAGAGAAACCTGGATCCCACATATCAGCAGACTCTGCTGTTTGATGAAAGTCCTCAGGGCAAAGTTGTGCAGGTAGTAGTTACATCTGTATTACATTCATCATGTATTTTCTTGTTTTGACAAAGATATTATTTGGTTCCCAGGTAATAGTGTGGGGGGATTATGGGCGTATGGACCACAAGTGCTTCATGGGAATGGCTCAGATCCTCCTGGAGGACTTGGACCTGTCTGCCACTGTCAGTGGCTGGTATAAGCTGTTCCCTACCTCCTCTCTGGCAGACCCCAACATCGGCCCCCTGACCAGACGCCTCTCTCAGTCATCTCTAGAGAGTGCCACCAGCCCCACCTGCCCCTAGACTCTGACACACACTTGTGATGTGCTGGGCCCTGCAAAGGCAGATGCACACTCCACATTCAAGTACTGCCATTCAGAACTGTACATTTAGATGTGCTCATAGCCTCACACATACACACACACACACACACACACTCTGTCTGACTTTGATTAGCCTCTCCTGCAGGTGGACACACTGAATTAGAAGATGTAGCATTGACATTTCACCATCTCGAACAAGGACTCACCTGGTGCCATGTCAGCCATTAGGAGTTTTCAGATCTCATCCCAGGGCCATCCTGATGCCAATTTATAGACTCTATGCCAAACTAAGAAATCTTTATTTTTTAAAACCAAAGCAATTGTCATTGTTGTTACTCTTATTATTGTAGATGAGTAGTAGTATAAAATGGATATGTAGCAAAGTCAGTGACTTAGATGTAATGCAAAAAAGACAAAGCATCCTAAACCCATGAGCTGAAAATAACAGGCAGAACATGACCATGGCTTAAATATTGATCCACATAATGATTATTATGTGAAGTAGCGACATGCTCTGCTATTGTATTATTTCTCACCACAGAGTGGATATACTCTCTATTTGTGTTGCTGTATGTACCAGCTGAATTTTGCATGTTTGCTTGATTCCCTCTTAGAGACATTTGTTAAAAGTATCAGTGCTTTATATATTTTTTAGCTCGCTATACCAGTGTCAAAAGAGTATAGTGCCACTTTCTTTTGCTGTTGTGACTCTTATGAGGGGAGATAATGAGAAGATGACAGAAATATCCAATGCATTGTCACATGCAAGATAGTGGAGATAGTTGTACAGTGCAAAGGACCAAGGCCTTCTCTAGCAGCCTGTCTGGAGGGTTTGAGCCTCTGATAGATGTGAAGATCTTGTACACCAATGGCATTATCTTTTTTGCACTTTACATGTCATGACAGGAAAGTATTAGACAGAATAACCAGAAGATATGCACACAGCTTCAACCAACTAAAACCTTTAAGTCTCTTTGGAAAATAATTTCCATTTTACTGACTTCTTGTCAGTGTGAACTGGCCAGCAGGGTGTCAACATAACATAAGTTTAGGTTTAATTTTGTGCCATTTTCTTTCAAACCATTTAGGGATTTAAAAAAGGCACTTTTACCCAAATCTGTTTTATTGATTATAACTGCTGCAGATAATTTTCAGTAACATTGTAATTATAGAATATTTAAGGTATAGTCTATGTTGATGACTATACAAAGGTGTCAAGAGTCATTAAAGTATTCATTATGACTTTATTGAGAAAATTTGAAACCACTTTCTATGTTTATAATTCACAGAGAAACAGTTGGCATTGAGTTCAATGTATATAAAATACATACATTTTGTTCAAGGGCAACCTATTTTTTCTATTTTTTTTTTTTTTTGCTTTTCAATTACAAGAGCAGAATAACATCTGTTTCTGTGTTTTTTTTGTTTTTTTTTTTACAATAAGGGATAACTCAGACCAAAATATCCCACTTAACACATTTTGATCAAAGGGAATAATCTCTGATAATCTTGAATTTTTGGGAGGATCTTGGCTGTCATTTGGAACCTCCCATTCTACAAATAAATATATATTGTATATATAAGTCTCAAGGTCTATGGTCTAAATATATATCGATCAATTCCTTGCTGGCTATGTAATGTTTTAGTGTCTTTATATTAAATAAATGTATGTATATTTTGTGAGCAGCTGGCATGACATTTAAATTTATGTATACATTTGATTCAAAATGTTTCTTGCAAGTGGCAACATTGAAGGAACATGCTAATTTTAAAGGGACTTTAGCATAAGGGAAACTGTTGGCTTGTTTTACATCCCTGTTGGATGCTGAATGTTTTGTCTCAATATTTAAAGAACAAATATATTCAGACTTATCTTGGGGTGTATACAGTTTGCCCCTTTTGTTGTATATTGTAGCCCAAAATATCCAGAACTATTTGTGTAAAGGAAGCAATGCTTTCTGAAAGACGTCATTTGTTACATTTGATGTGACAAATCTGAATGGTTTGACTTGGGAACCAAAAGGAGAGCTGTACTTTTTCTTCTTTTCTAAAGTGTGTTGTGCTTTTCATTAAGAGCTGCATGTAATATACTGAACTGCAAGAGTCAGGAAGAGAATAATGAGAACTGAATATAGGGCTTTGATCTAATGCTTCTTAGTCTAAACTGTGTTTCTTTATTAGAGGTGTCTAAACTATAAAGATGTCCATTGACCGGATTCTCATCTGGCCCCTTAGCCACCATATAATTTAAGATCACCTATGACTTACTATATATGAGTCTATGTCTCTCTACATTCCACTTTCTTAAGGTTTCTTTATGCCGTCCCACGACCACAGAGAAGTAGATTGTGAATGGACATCTGAATTAAATGTGAAGGAATGTGTTTTTAGTAGTGGGAAGCCCTCAATCAAAAAATCTGGACATCCCTTGTAAACTATTCAGTTGTGACTTACCATTGTTTAGCTATAGCACACTACTTTTAGCAAACTTACTATTTCCTGTGTTTACTGACTGTGTTTTCTCAGTTATATCAGCATGTCTTGACATCTTCCCAATCACAGTTGTAGGTGGCAATTTATGTAAAATGGTTGAAAATGGTGAGTTTGCTGCATTGTGGTTTGAGCTTTGGTTTAACACTTGATACACACCAACTTTGGCTGCAATGTAAGAAAGTTGGACTGTGCAGAACATGGTGATGTACTCTGATGACGGGTCTTTTGTTGCAAAATAGCAACTTGTGGCAGGAAGAAGCATCTCTCTTAAATGCTAAGGATACTTGGAATGTAAACTGCTTGCTTACTTACTGTATATGAAACTCAAATTGTGCAAAAACTATTGTTGAATTTCTCAGTTTTATTTTTGTACAAGGAAAGAGCTATTTAGAGTGCTGATGGTTTGAGCACAGCGAGATTGGCAAATCTCTTGCAAAACTGAGGGCTTTTTCAGTTTACAATGGCCTTATTTTGTGTGGACATTGTTTTAATATTGTAGCACACAACTGAAGGTTCTGACCAATATATTTTGCTTGAAATATTGTATGAACTTATATAAATATATTTGTGTACATAGTTTTATGAATGTATTTACAAATCTGTCTACAAGGACTGAGTCTGAGTTTTGTCTTATGGTTTGCTACTGTCTCTTTGAAAACTTTCAGGGGGCTGTCCTGCACTGGAACAGGCTGACCCTGTACTGTACACTTACTGTCTATAATATTGTTTATTTTTATCACTGTCTAAAACTAGCTTAACTTCTGTTTTGCAAACAGTTATTTGATTTATTTACATTTGCATCAGAAAGCTTGCATTTCCCTACCCTAACCATACTTATTCATGATAAAAATAGGTTCCATTTTAAATATTTTTAGTTCAATATTTTTTAAGATTATATGATGATGAGTATAACATGTTACAATGGCCATGTGGTTACTGGAATTTCTACAGATGCAAATTAACTTTTTCAAAAATGCTGTATCATATGGTAGCATCCTCCTAGCCTTCCATGCTCTGATTTATTTATGGTGGCAATAAGCCTTGGCTGTAGCCTCTCACTGTAGGTTAGTATTGACCTGTCCCTTACTCTGTAGCTGAGGGCACGGCCACTCTTTACAAATCCAATCAGCTCCGACCTTCGACAGGCACAAATTTGAATTGAATATTTGCCTTTCAGATCAATGTAGCAATTTTGAAACTAGATCAAAATGGTCCCCAGTTATTTGTTGCTTTGTGAAATCATGAGCTATTGTAAATGTCTTAAAATGTTATGTGTGATATCAGCACAAACTGCAGGCAGCCAAGTCTTCTCTAAAGACTGATATCTTAAAAGAAACCAGCCAAGCACAAAGAAAATTCTCATCAAATGTTGAAAGCAAAAATGATTAAAGGTAGGCACAGAGTATCCTGGTGTTGTAAGAATACTAGTACATGTAGTTGTCTTACTAATTGGCTTATTCCTTCCATTAAAAGTCTTTATAATGTGTTTTTAATGGCAAAGCAGACTGATGCAAGTGGGTTGTTTATGGTATAAGGAAACAGGAAGCTGTAATTTTCTACCTGTGCTTTGTAAATGTTTTCTATGTGCAGTATTTGATAATGTAAAACTGGTATTTTGTGGTTTGTACGCTGCCAAATTGATTACTTAAGGTGCACGTAGTTTTTTAAGAAAATGGAATTAAACAATGAAAAAAATTTGGGGATTCAAAAGCCTGTATTTGCATGCCCTTGGACATCTGGACACAATGTCAATAAAGTTTATCAACCACCAATGCAGTTCTGTGTTGTATTTTTTTTCTGTGTAATTAAATGTTAAGTAACAATAGTGACAGTGTGTTATAAAACAGTCAAAAAAAGAAAATAAATATTGCATTTTTTAATATTTTTCACTAATACAGTTATGCCACTAATGTACTCAAGTGAAAGTGAGAGAGAATTAAAAATAAACCTTGAAACAATGTAAGCAAAAATATCCAGTGATGCCAGTTTTTGTCATGAAGTACAAGGAAACATACATTCATTGTGATATGTACTACATGTCTTAAACTATAGCATACACTTGTAATTTAAGCATTATTGCCCAAATATCTAGACTTTTTGACTTGACCCAAGAACATAAGAAATTGTCTATGGGCTTGATTCATTTGCAGCAATAAATAAGCAATTATTTTTTAAATTAAAGTATGAAATAATATTAACCAGAAAACACTATCAATAAAAAAACTCTAAACACTATCAATAAAAAGTGAAACATTCAAACAGAAATCTCCAAAAACAATAATAGCATCACAAGTTTACGCCGTACACATTCAAGATATGGTCAGTGTTGGTCTCGACAAGAAAAGACATTCAGAAAACCAGATTGCAGAGACACAGTCAGACTGGTATTTACATTCATGCAATTCACAGAAAGACCTCATTTATGCATCTGCCCTGTTTGAGCTATACACACATTCAACAGGGCAAGAGGTCATTTTACACAGGTAGATTTTACATTTTCAACAACGCGCCCGGCCCTTTATGGAAGCAGCACAGTGACTGAACTGTGTGAGCGGTTATGGTCAGAGGTAAAGAGCTGCAATGCAAAATGTCCTTATACTAATCTCTTATAAATTAGAAATATTTGTGAGTACTGCAAAACCAGGACACAGCTAGTCCTCTTTGGTCATGCCAAATTCACTACTAGATAATAAGTGAAGATAATAACTTTAGCAAGCCCTTTTAGATCCTATATAGAATGCAATATGTGGATCTACAGGTAAATCTAAATAAATAATAGTAATCATAGCATGGTAATTTTAGAATATTTATAATTCGTTAATAACTATAATAAATTACATGATGATTCATGGATTTTGCCTTAACCTAGCTTAGCATTGTCTATTATATAAGTGCTTTATACACATAAGACTAAATAAAAAAGGAAAGTTAAGTATAAAGTATTGCTTATGAAAAACACTTGCTACAGCAAAAATTATGGTGTAATGCTGCATAGACAGATTCATGCAAAGCACAAAGCAAAAAACTTATGACCCAACAACATGCAGTAAAAACATTCAACAAATGATATATATATATATATATATATATATATATATATATATATATATATATATATATATATATATATATATATATATATATATATATATATATATATATATATATATATATATATATATATATGCATCATTTCATAAAGAAAAACAACTTTGCACTTCAGGCACGCACAGGGTTAAGCTAGGCTAGGCTGCACCAATTTTCCATTCAAGTTCATTTGTATGCATACATAAATTGACAAATCACAACAAAGCAAATGTTGCTTGATCAATGTGCAAAAATACAGTGTGATGTCTGAACTAATTTTCTTCATTTGAAAAAAGAAAGCAAAAAAAATAAAAAATCAAAGGCAAGCACTGAATCCTGCAGTACATAGCAGACAATATTGACAGACCAGAAATGCAGAACCATGAGGTTGAAAAGGTTGATTGGAGGAGGTAGGAGAGGTTACCCCACCTCTGGCACTGCTCCTCTGGTTATGTCCAATGGTGAGTCTCGCCCATAGATTCACACAGTTAATTTATCCACCTGCTGTGATGTCACTTCCTGGTTTGTATGACGCCACTTCCTGATGCGAGCAGATCATTTCCATACATGTGCAGTCATGTGTGCCGAGCTTGGAGCTGCAGAACCTTCCATGTGTTGACTGTTGTAGCTCATCATATTATTAGAGTGGTATGCGTTCAGACCCGCCATGTGCTGAGTGATCTAAAATATAACATGAAATATAACATGGTTATAAGTCATAGCTCATCTATAAGTCCACTAAACACTAGATATGTAGATTTGATAATAATTTCTTACTACTGGTCTGGTGATGTTTAGAGTAAATCAAAATGCTCCACAGAATTACTTATTTGTACAGCTTCCCCTGTTTATTATTTGTGCATAACTATGTCTCAATATAAAATCCATCCAATAAATGTACTACCGTAATAATGCAGGTCATTGTAAAACCCCTCCAGCTAAAAGAGTGGATTGTACCTGTGCAATGTTCCACTGCAGCTGCTGAGCCTGTTGTCCGTACATCTGCTGCTGTCCTAACACTGCGCTCTGAGGCTGAGCTCCCATCATGCCACACTGCTGCTGTGGCACCATGCTGGGGGTCATCCCGCTCATGTACGCAGCAGGAGCCGAGTTCGACTGAGGCAGGACCCCCTGAGCCCCTACAAGGCCATGCTGCTGAGGCCCTATTAGGCTGTTCTGGACTAGCCCCATGTTGGGCTGAGCTGCCAACATGCTACTCTGCTGTTGCCCCATCAGAGGCATTTGTGACGTCATCATCCCTCCTGGCATGGCCGCATGCTGGACCAACGAATGGTACGAGCCAAAGGTCTGGGCTGTGTATCCCATCTGGTTCATGTACAAGCCTTCAGAGCCGTGACAGAAAGAGGGACAACAGTTTACAAAAGATGTCTTCGCATTAGAGGACTGTGTCTTGCTAAATGAATTTCAACTATCGTAATAAAACCAACACAGGTGCTACACCAATGACATTAAATTAAAGCTAACAAAAACAGAAGAAGGAAACAGGAACATTCTAGGTTTGTCCATGTCTTTGTTTAAGATATCTTCTTACGCTCTCTCTTACACATTTGCTGAAAATGTGATTCATATCACATTGTTTTATAATCCAACATGAATAGTTTATCTTGCACACTTCAACCCAACAAACAAACAAACAAACAAACACTGTTGGCTGAAGTAACTCTGAACTCCTCACCATGAGTAGCCATGCTGTTGGCATGCACAGAGGGAGTTGATGCGTATAAGGAGAGAATGGAGTCCTTGGAGAGTTTCTTGACCTCTTCTTTCTTTGGAGCTGGATCTAAAAACAGACTGAGGTTTTCAGGCACTGATGCAGTCACTCGGCTGTGTGGCAGAGAGCTGGTGACGGGCTGGAGAGAGAAGAGGGTGTAAAGAGCTTCTGATATGTTGCAAGTGATCTGAAAATAGAACAATTATTTAAGCCACAATAGTTGTCCTTACAGTGGTTTTAGCGGAAGAGGACGATGGCAAAGAGTTGAAGAGATCTAACCCTGTGTGGTTTAAGGCTGGGCTCTCAAAACTGTCTGAAACAGGCATCTGACCATTTGACAGAGAGGGACTTGGAGTGTCTGAAACACAGATTATATCGTTTAATACATCTTCTCTATCTATACATTACTACGAATAATAATATGGTATGTTAAAAAGATTACCTAATCCAAGCAGATCTGTCACTGCCTGGGAATCAGTTTTTGGGCTGGTGTCTTTTTTCTTTCACATAAATAATTTAAATAGTTATAATTTAATACAAATAAGTTTAATAATAAATATATATATATATCTTTGAATGCGTCATCATGGACTTACCAATTTCATCTTCTCAAAAACCACTGGCTCCTTTGGTATATTGTCACAGCTCTTTTCTTTCTGTGAAGTATAATTATTATAATTGTAATGTATAATTGTGTTCTGTACATATGAGACATCAACACCAGATAGTATCACCCAGATGCAATTATCTGATCTGTGTAATGGTAACTTACTTTACGCCTTTGATAAAATCCATATATGTTGAAATTGTTGTTGTTTTGTTTACTAACTTGACATCAATGTTATGAATGAAGTGCTTTCAAGTTACTGTACCTCACTAAATAATTTAAAAGAAAAAATAACAGAGAAGACCTTTTTTTTTCATGTGGATTGCACACAATTACAATATACCAGATCAAACCTTTTCATTTTAACAGTTAAACATTAAATCCTTATCAAATTCTAGTCTTCCGTCTCCCAACATCAAACTGGGCTCTTTAAATGTCACACGATCACCACATACTGGGGGTTTATAAAATATGTAATCTGTTGTGGCCTTACCCTGAGCATCTGTATATCGATGACTTTATCCATGTACTTCTTCTTTTCGTACTTGTCTCTTATAAATATCTCAGCTGACTGGTCTGTCTCTGGGCGCTGGAAGCACTCGGGAAGGAAAGCCTCATAGAGACGTTTGGCCTTGGCATTTCCCATCTCCTGAACACACTGCAATGATAGATGGCCTTGTTTTTAAAGGTGCTATATTACACAAAATTTACTCTTGTGAGCTTCAGGCCATGTTATAATGTTGTTACCTCATCAAAAACATAGCTGGAGTTGTGTTTTGTTTCACATTTGTTTGAGTAACCCTTTATTATTAGTTTGTCTACAGTTCCAAAGCTCAAAATGCTCTGTTCTATCTTGTGATGTCATCTAGTGGTAGTTTTCAGTTTAACAGCTCCTTTTACCCTTAGTTCAGTAGAGATTGACAATTTCAGATCTAAAATTATCCAAATGATTCTGGTGTATGGATTTTAAAAACACAGTGGAGCACTTCCTGTATTACCACATGACATCATAAGATGGAACAGAGTGTTTCCTGTTTTTAGAGAAGAAGGGTTTGTGGGTTAAACATGTGTGAATGAAACAAAACACAACTCCAGTCCAGGTAAGTTTTTGATGAGTAAACAACATTATGACATAGATCAGAAAATAATATAAAATGGGCCCTTTGAAATTAGTTGTGAAGTTTCTGATGACATTATTATGAAAGCGGTGAAAGTGTATTCATGTTAGCTTAATTGTGGCGACTCACCTGAACCTGTTCTTCTGTCCACTGGTCCAGATTGACAGACTTGACTTTGGAGATGTGAACTCCCAGGTTTCGATGGATCCCAGCACATCTGATACACACAAACACACCCAGGTTCCAAGACGCCCATCGCGGTCCTAAAGAAAAGAGAAAAAAACAAAACGAAAAATTAATAAATAATTAGCAGTACAGAACACATTCAGTGTATTCTCATTTAGATGCTATGTAGTGTGTGAATGTGGGTCGTTTGTAGATTTTTAAAGTCAATTTCCTTAGAGAATGTGGATATTAGATAAGAGATTAATGAGGTGGTATGGCAAAACAAATTTTTATATTAGTATATTTCCATCAGAAGACACGACAATACAAAAAAATGCTTACTTATTACAGGAAGAAATAGCTGATCAATACAGTTAGAGTATATTTACTCCAATGTTTGAACAAAAACAATGTTTAACTTTTTTGCAAGATTTTGGGAAAACATTTGAAGACATCAAACCATTGCTGAAACCTTTATGACTTCCCAAAGCCAATCACACGCACTGGGGCACCACCAGTCTCTACCGCTTGGCTAATCTTGCACAGAGACAGTAGACCTTGCTTTGACTTTGTCCCTGCTGCCCCCTAGAGGGACGCAAAGCACAACATTATAAAAAGCCATTAATACTTTCTAACATAGAGGAAAGAAAATAAAGAAGTTAGCGATCAATAAGACTAATGGTAGTTACTGTAGATTACTGAGTTCTTACAATCTCATAAACAATGTCATACACACTCACACTCAATTATTCTCTCTAAATGTTGACACTCTCCACAAAGTTCCCTTCTTGTGAAATGTCTTCTGCCTTCACTTCCTCTTTCACTTCAACTTTGGGCCTACTTTCCAAGTCTTTAATTAAGATGGCAGCTATAACCTGATATATTTTGGGTTACCTCAAACTTACTTTTTGGTTTCACCATGAAAATAACAGTTCAGAATATTGCTACTGCTGACCACAAACATATCTCTACACGATTTGATGTGTTTCATTAATTATTACTTCAGTGACTAAGTACTAGCCCCATAAATAATTAAAACGCTTATGTATGTTTCTGGAAAATGAAATCCAAAGTGTGAACAGAGCAGAGCAAAGTAGTTGGTTACTGAGCATCTGAGGTAACCTAAAAAAGAAACCAATTTTCTCATAGGAAAGCATGGGCTATACTTACAGTATCTCAACATCAAGTAGGAGAACCTACAAGAAGGTGACCTGAATAATATATATAGACACAATGCACTGTTATGTAATCATACTCTTCATAATTACATGTATTTTTACTTTTTTTTTAAGACTTTAGTTAAACAATTGTTATAAAGACTGATTGAACAGAAGGTGCATGGTGTTCATTAACCTATTTCTCACAAGGATAAATACTCTGGCCCGTGTTAATCTCAAAGCTCATGCCATATGCAAGAGCTTACCCTCAAGTAAAATGGCATGTTCATATTCAGCCATCTTGGTCCACAGTGACTCAATGAGCAGATGGACCTTCCTCATTATTTAGAATGTGACCAACAGTATGTTCGGCACAAAGTGAAGTGGCTCTGTGCTCCTGCAGGCTGTGACTCATGCTAAACGAGACTGCATGATACAGGAGAACATGCATTATGAGAAAATAATATGATATTTGATATGTATATGGCATCAGTGTATATCTGTGGCGTGGCATTATTCATTTATGAAGGAATGCAAGGCTCATGACAAATAGTAATTACTTTGTAAATGTGCTTTATTGCCAACACTAAATTTAACACAACTTATATTCACATAACACATTTGGTATTAATGGTATAATTACAAATTTACAGTGTTGTGCTATAGCCCCTGATGGTGAGGTCCTGCTCTGGTCACAGGTGCCCTGGGGCAGGCAGGCTCTGATGATGGTAGGTCCATCATCACAGGTGAAGTGAAAAGCTCAGAAAACAGACGTACACAAATACATGAACTGGGAAAGGTGGATTTGAATAGCCTTCTACTACCTCATAAAATAGTTCTTGCCAAAGAGAGCCTGCCTCTCTATAACAATGTCTCTTGACACAATGTCAATTGATAGTGACACGTTGTGTACTCATCACTATGCAGCTAAGCCTATAGGGACCTGCTGCTCCTCTGACAGCCCTCGACAGGAGTCGAGACCGACTGAGGTTTTGGTGTAGCCAGGTGATGTCTCCATAGCAACCACAGCACATAAACACAATTACAACGATGGGAAATACAGGAGGGGATGCTATTATTGCAGTGTGTACACATGCACAGCCAGACGATGCTAAAAGTAAATATGGATACACCTGCTACACTTCCCATTTCACAAATGTCAATAAACAGCATATGCTACAATAGTAAAGCTTTATATATATAACTGCAATGTTAGGCCTATATATTATATTATCCATTGCATAACAAGTAATACAAAATATGATGGCATTATAATGGGAAAATTAAATAGGTCTCAAAAGTCTTAAACTGTTCAACAATTCAAACAAACAAATGCTATCTTGCAATGTAAAATCATACAAAGAATCAGCATTCTGTATTGATACTAGATTTATACCTGACATAAATATAAAGTAGTTAGGCTAGTAGTAGAAGTGGTGAGGAGTACCCTGTGCACTGTGGAGCATACATGTGCATCGAGGCTATTTTCTTCTCTTAGCCACTTAATCCCATCTGCAGTGATTAGACCTGGCTGCAGCACTCAACCTCCATCTGCTGAACCATAGGGACTAAATGAGAAGTATGAAAACAGGAAGATAACAGTCTGAGATCAAATTTCACTGTAGCACTGTCAAAAAGAGCAACTCCATCAGACGTTGCATCCTGTTTTTAAAGCCTTAAGTGCTTCTTCTATAGGCCTCTAATGTGGCAGGTGTACCTATTTGTCTTGGGAGTCTATATATAACTAGTTTACTAAATACGTTACCATTACTTTAGATAATAGCCTAATATTACATTCAAGTATTTGAGTTTTCTACATCATGTTCAGGTTTATCAAGTTTATACAACTTTAATCACACATTGTTCTTGGCACCTATTGAAACGCACTGTAATAGAAGACAGGATACACATCTGGGCACAAAACAATGGGCAACTAAACATAACAGGCTAAAAGGTCTCATAATATAGTTTACTTTAAGAGATGTTATTAGTTTACGTTCTAATGTAGCTGAATATTTTGGCAGCAAATGAGCAAATATTGTAATTTCCATGAGCAAATCACTTGCGGGCTGTACCGATTGTTTGACTCTAAACAGCAGTAGTGTTTATACTGTACAGTAGTGGCCTAAAGCAGAACAGGTTCTTCCAAGAGCTGATGGTAACAGATCAATGTCATAGACCTTCAAAACAGGAAAAATAGTTAAAGCTTTAGATTACAGCTATTTTCAAAAAGCCCTGCAGTGTTATAGAAAGACCAGCATTTGCTGACCTTTGCCATGGACCTACCCATAGGCCACCCACAAGATCTGGATTTATTGGCCTATAAGTACATTTTGTCCACCAGTCTAAACAGGTGCCTGTGACTGTTTCACACTGGGGCAGCAGCACTATCTGTAGGCTCACTGTAACTCATACACTAACGCATAGAGTTTAAAAATTTTGCCAATGAATGAACTCGTGGGTTCTTGCTACTGGAGCTTGGCAGGTGTAGCTATGACACGAGCCGCGTACTCATTATTGGTTGAGAGACATCAGCCTACGTGTTAATTTTGTGCGTAGGCTATAGCTGGACTGAGAAATGAACGATCAGTGTGATGGACACATTGGGCAGACAGATAGTCCATCCATACTACAGCAACATTACAGCATTATATAAACGAGCTTTACCTTTGGATTCGCAGTCCGCGCAGAATTTATTCTCCTCCAGCGCCAGGAGTGAGTTGAGGACAGATTGGTATCGGTCAATGTCTTTCACAGATTTTCCCGTCATTATCACGAGTCGTCCGTCTCCACCTCTCGAGTCGGCTATCACAAATCTGTAGTTTCTCAAAAATGAAGCAGAGAGCCGCAGCGGTGCGTTTTGTTCCTCTTCCCCTCGCCACAAAGCGGTGCGCGTTTCTCAGATCAAGATGGGACGAGCGCATATACTGTATATGGACGAGCGCCTCCAACCAACGCGGGTATGGGTCTTCTGAGTCAGGTGTATCGTGAAAAGTGATTTAAAATGTCGACTTTTAACGGCGTATTCCGGTGTGTTGTACTGACTCCAGCCTCTCTCTGGCCCCCTCAAGACCCACTCATCGTGCCTCCATCTCAATGAGTCACCAAATTATGACTGGTAGCCTTTGTGAAACAGCCTTGCTACTAAAACTAAAATATATAATAACAAAAATTATATATTTAATTTGTAAGTGTCTGTTTACAAATAATCAGCTAATTATTTAAGTAGATAACAGGATTATTTTTTACTTATATGTGCTGTAACACCTTGCTATACCACTAGAAGTCGCACAAGCGTCAATAAGAGCGCAGACGAAGGTCAAACAGATATTGTTTTGAAGAGGAGATTGTTTCTTATCCGCCTAAGAAAAAGGCAATAATATTATGAGATCCGTAAATAATGTGTAAATTATAACGTGATCAAATAGATAATTCGCAGAAAATAGCATTGCCACTTTACCGCGTGTTTCGTGAAAAATGTTGTTTTGTTTTTTTAATTCAAAATACGTTTGTGTTTTTTTGTACTCGTGCAGCATATCCAGAGCACATCTAAACCCTTTCAAAACAAACTTTGTGGCTGCTATTCATGGACTTCAGAATGATGAAAAAATTAACAATTTAAACAAAATATATCTTTTGAATGGGATAAAGTTCTCAAAATATTGCAGAAAACAGGAAGCTGAAACCCATGAATATGCCTTAATAGCTATTGTGTAAGACAGCTGCATAATCATTTGGCGTTATTTTTCACGTGCATTATTCGTCATATGCAGACAACATCCAATTTTTTAATTTTAATTTTTTTTTATTTTTTAAATAAAACCTTCCAAAGATACTAACCGGAAGCACTTTGACTTTCCGTGTTCGCTTGACACTCCTAACCTCATTAGCGCTGGGCATTTACGGAAGATTCAGTAACAATCAAATAAATAAAGGATTACTTCTGACCTTTCTAACGGTGTTAGCCTGTAACAGTGTCCACAATGTCCAGGCAATCTAACCGAGCGACAGACAGCAAGAAAATGGTAGGAAGACGTTTTAAACGAGCCTTTACTTAGCCATGTAGCTTATAGCATGCTAATGCTATTGACAGCATTGCAATTATGGATCACTGCCACCTCTATGTTAAATGGCATGAAGCGAATCAAGGGATGCACAAATTTATCCTTATACCTAGTGAAATCTGTAGTTAAACCCCTTGTAGATTTGTGATTATTACTTATTGATTATTATTGATAGTCCACATGTTTATAACTAGGCAATTGTTGTTGTGAACCTAAACATTTTGTGACCTTATTATTTATTTATTTATTTTAAGAACTCAGAGTTGTTCACTTTGACATATGGGGCCTTAGTCACACAGCTTTGTAAAGACTATGAGAATGATGAGGAAGTCAACAAGCAGTTAGATAAAATGTAAGTATATTTAAAAACAATAATAATAATTATTATTATATATATGTCCACATAATACCACATAATATTTCCATTTTATTACCATTATAGGGATTTTTTTTGTCTTGATCTTTTTTTTTAAAAAAAAGAATGAGATAATGGTCTAGCTTGCTTTCCTTTGCCTCTTCTTCCTCAGGGGTTATAACATTGGAGTGCGCTTGATTGAGGACTTTCTGGCACGCTCCAGTATTGGCAGGTGTCAGGATTTCCGAGAAACGGCTGATGTCATTGCTAAGGTAAATGGAAATAATTAGAGTTAATCAAAAATCCCAAATCAAAACATAATTTATGTATTTTCATTGATAAAGAACCAGTTTCTAATTGGGGATAAGTTTGTTTTATTAGCAGATATTATATTCTGTAACTAACCAATATATGTCATGTAAGAAATCAGGAGTTCTGGTTTTGAAAACATTATTTGCCATTTGAGAGGATGATTTATGTAGCAGTCCCAGCTAAAAAGAAGGACTCTGAAAAAAGTAGGACCAAAAAGGAATAAGCAAATCAAAATGTATTAGCAGGAAGAATATTGCTGTCATGTTACTTTAATGAAACTAATTGGTTTTGGCAGGTTGCTTTTAAAATGTACCTGGGGATAACTCCGAGTGTGACTAACTGGAGCCCAGCAGGAGATGAGTTCTCTCTGATTCTTGAGAACAACCCTCTGGTGGACTTTGTGGAGCTACCGGACAACCACAGCACCCTCATCTACTCCAATCTGCTGTGTGGCATCCTCCGAGGAGCTCTAGAAATGGTAACTTCACAAAACACTTATTGCGCTCTTTAGCCTTTCACACCACCAGACATATTATTATCACCCCTATCTAATGTTTGTAGTTGTTTATCAAATTGTCAATCAAATTGTAAAAAAAAACGCTTCAGTAACTCCTTTACTGAAACACTCACCATATTCACTCCACCTACACTTGCTTTGACCATATTTCAAAAATGGGGTTTCCACATTTTTTTCTTGGCTTTTTTTTTTTATGTTGTATGTAATGTTCATAAAATATATATATAAATGGACAGAGCTAATGCACTAACCTCCACGTTCCAAATAGGAAGTTTGCATGCAGGCTCCTCTGGCTCCTACTGACCCTGGCTCCCATTGACTTACACTGAAGTACTGTGATCCCTCTCTCTGTAACTGCTGCTGTGAGCCTGGTCATTTTGGTCTTAAAATGTTTGTATTAACCTGCTCTACATGATCACAATGTTTTCATTTCACTATTTTGTTCTTTAAAAAATCCTATTCCTAATATGTAGCCTGGCTCAAAATTCACTCCTGTAGCTTCATTTCCTTATACAGTCTACCATTTTTACCCCCCCACCATATAAGAGACCAGGTGTCATGAGTAATTTTGAGAGTGGTCCTTCTAATGTTATGATTAGTTTTAAACAATCAATATTAAAAATAATGTCTTATGTTTTAGGTCCAGATGGCTGTAGATGTCCGGTTTGCCCAGGACACTCTTAGAGGGGACAATGTGACAGAAATCCGTATGAGGTTCATTAAAAGGATCGAGGAGAACCTTCCAGCAGGAGACGAATGAGGAAACCAACAAAATTCATATATCTTTTGTACAATGAAGATGATTTTCAACCCTATATATTGAGACTGAAACACTGAGGATGAATGAACATAATCAAATATCAGCAGTTGTAAAGATGATGATCACAAGCATAATTAACTCCAATGTGTTTGCTCCTTTTCTGTGTGGAAAAATGTCTTGTCTGTATTAAAGGTGTACTATGTAACTTTTTCATTGGTGGGTCTGCCATCTTGTCTCCATGGAGACGTTACTGCCTTGCCAGTAATGTTCCACTGTATGATGCTAAATCCTCATTTATTTTGTATATTATATTTATTTTTTTCTTATTAATTGAAAATACCTTGAAACACATGCAATCTTACTGAGTTGTTGCTTCATGATTTAGAAGTTTAATTCTATGCTTTGGAGCATTCCAGAAAAAGCAGAAGCTTCATGGAGACAAAAATGTAAGAGATCCTCCACCATAAAAGTTACATAGTATACCTAATAATTTCTTTATAAAATATCCACTAAACATTTATCTTGTACAGCTTTTTATTGTTATTAAACTTTCTGAAATCCATTTTGTCTATCATTCTCAAGCGCACATGTTCAGGGGACCACCAGAGGGTGCTAAATATGTTCTGTCAACCTTTGCTACCGATGAAATGTATGTTCTGTGACAATACCGAGTAACAGTGGCTTTGTGCCCACCAAATATCTGATCATTGTCAGATTCCTGGATTAAACAGGTACATCTCATATGAGTTTTGACTGTTCACTCCTGTGCATGTATTTACAGGGAAAATCGTGCAAAAAAATTCAAATTACTCTAAAAGTCCATTGACATGTCACCAGGTATTTTTGAGGATCTTTGATGGCTTTTGCGCATGTACACGTACACATGGGTTATTGGATTATCCCAGTTGTCTGATTTTTATTGGGCATGTAAATGTATACTACATGTCAGATGTAGGGTAATATAGTTTTTATACAATAGGCAACAGATAATCTCATAGATAATGTGAAAAAAGACTAAAGAAACATACATTCAGGTGGTCATTATGAATTTGTTATGATTTAACATAGTATAAAAATACAATCTGTCCCAAAATCGAATTTTGCTTTATGTTTTATTCACCAACATTCATATGTGATGGTTCAGTTGTTAAAGATAAGGAACTTTCAAGTAAAGATGCTACAGGTGCAAAATGCAGATAAAAATAATATTGAGTTTGATTTTGAAAACAAGTAGCGAATGATGTGGGCCTGCACTGATATGCTTCAGGCTAGCTAAATGTTTCCATGTGGCTTTCATGGGAAACAAATGGTAAAAGGCATGCTGCAACTGTAAAGCCCAGCACCCGAACTGACCAGTGATCCTAAGTGTTTCTGTTATTGTTCCCTGTACCACGCTATACCTACATGAGGCATTGGGGCACGCTTTAGATAACTTGAAAAGTTTAAAAGTTATACGTTATCATAGTATTACTATATAGGTAAAAAGGAAAACAAAAACAAAAAAAACATTGTAACTTCCATATTGTTAGGTTTACATACTAAGATGAGTAATTGAACCCATTGCATTGAACATAGAATTTCAGTGATCTTTCTACTGTTAAACCTAAACAATAGAGCATTTTGTTATTAGCACTTATACTGAAATGCAATCAATCTATCTTTCTTCACATGTAAATTGATACGCCCTCTTTTTGTTTTTGGCTGGGGTGGAAGAACAAAAACGAAACAATGACGTCCGGTGAAATGTGGCTCTTGTCCATCTGACCTGGATCCAGTGCATCCTAGACTCCTGTCAACAAAGAGGAAGAGAAGAAGACTCTCCAGACCTGCTCCTGTCTCTGCTGTCATTGAACCACAGGTCTGGGACTACAGGAACTTTACAAACCCCATTCTACTCCTTTGAAGGTCCGCCATGCTTCCAATTTCCTTTATCTGATGAGTGCACTTTTACCTTCTGCCTTCTGCCTTGTGTTTTCGCTTTTCTTTCTTCCTTTATTGTGACCCTGCAGCCATTGAGTTTATGCAGCTGATATGATCACAATAGTAGTCTTTGTATTCCCTTGCCATGCTGTTGCAAAACTGTAAATTAGACTAACAAATTTCTTCTACAAAATGTAATTTGCCCTTCTACCATGAAATGAAAATAATCTAAATGTTGTTCTTTGAAGTACAGATAAGTAGGCCTTGTCATTGCACAAACTAGGCTGTATGATGAAATGAAAGATGGATCGCATGATTTCACATTGCCCTGAAAATCTATAGGGCTTACTGTTCTGGGTATTTTGAGCAATTTGTTTCATGTAGATAGGGAAGTACAGTTATTGGCCGGTAGCCAATGGTTTCATCACTTGCTTGTCGCCATGGAGATGCCAGGTATGTTCCACACTATGACATTAAATGTATATAATTTAGTTGCAGTTATTTTTTCTTCATTAAAATTAACTTGAAAGCATGTATTCTTAGTGTGACCACGATTACTTCTCCACATGTAATGCTGTACTGTGGAACATTACAGGCAAAGCAATAACATTTCCATGGATTAAAGCAAGTGGTGTGCCCTTCACCAGAAAAGTTACAGATTTCACCTTTAACTTTCATTTCACTGCATGGCCTTAATGAGACATGTGTTTCTTTAAATACATGCTATGCTGACAGTTAGGAGAATTTATTCACATGATGAGATATTTATGACATTATGTTGCTACTATTGAGGATTTATCTCCATGCTTGCCCATGAAGCCTCCCAGTGTGATTTTAATACATTCATGCTGAAAGGGGTCATGTAACACTTCCACCTTGTTCCAATTAGGCGTCCGGTTCTGGCCCAGCACTGGTCAAATCTACTGTAAATATAGCACAGACAAAACACACACTGTGGACATGTACAAGGCCCACATACAGACAGGAAGAGGAGGAAACCAGTGTGAAACTGTGTGGGGTGGTCCCATGTGCGAAGGTCACCTCCTGGACATCATCATCGTCACCTAGAGGACAGCCAAGTCATCTGTGGTGGGACTGTGTTGGAAATGGCTGACCCTCTGATGCTCCGAGAAAAAAAAAAGTGTGTTTGATTCTTAGATACTGTGAAAAGGCTTATGGAATAGCGTGCTACATTGGGATCATTCAGTTGTATTCTTTTTGTTTTTATGTGGAGATTATAGTTTGGAAGTAAATGTGCAGTCAATTTGGTACATTTATATCCACTAAAAATACACAATAACCTAATCAAATTTTTCTAAAATTGTGATTTGAGTAGTACTAGTGGTTTGTGAGGTCCTCTGGGTATGTAGATTCCTCTGCAGTTTAAGTGTTTATTTTTATAGTAATTTTTGTTTTCTGATTTGATTCCTGATTTATACCTACTGTAAAACTAGATGATCCTCACCCAACTAAGCTCAAGATCTGCTCCTGGCAGGTTGTCCTAGAGATAGGACACATTTTCCTATAGGGTCAATAAAGTGTACTTTACCTTACTAAAAGGAACTCACAAGTTTACCATTACATACAGACATAAGAAGCAAGGCCAGTGGACACAAAAAAAGTGAATAGGAAGGGAACAGCATAGTTTAAAAAGGGAAAAGGAACAACCCAAAGACCCCAAAACACAGCTCTTACTGTCATTGTTACAGATTGTTCCTGGATTGTAACTCAGTACCAAAGCTTTTGTTCATAAACCCTTTAATCTTAATTAATATCATTTTAATCACACATTAGTAGCAATTTAACAATCTCTGAACACAAATGGCCTTCTCCAAAACAAACAAAAAACCTCCATGAATGCTTTATAATGTTACGTGCAAAACTTAAGGGCTGTCTGTTCTGTGACACGCCCAGCACTGGTCCTGCATGGTCTGCTTCAATTTTACAATTTCAAATGGGGTGTGGGGGTGGGTCTCTGCAACATACTTGTCACTACAGCACCTCCAAAAAATGTTACGCAGTGGCAAACAACCTCAGCAGAGCACTGGCACAATCATTGAACAGGATTAGAGCCCATGACATCATAAGGCCAGGTGATTGAGTGTGAGCGCTTGGTTTTTCCACCACTTAATATGTCCACTGAAAGAAATACGTGACTAAATATGCCTCTTAAGGTCATTTGCTAAAATACCTGTTCTGGCTCATTTACCGTAAAGGACTAAAAACAAGTTGAAAACACCAAGCTGTTTGTTATGCAGAAAGGTGAAAGAAGTTCTCCAGAACCCATACACCCCTGCTGTTAAAAGTACCAATAACCACATTTTAACCAAAGGTGAAGAACACGTTTCAGCATTAACTGTTAGCCCCACATACTTATTCCCTCCTTTCACTGTTAGGTTAAACCATGATAGAAAAACAACTTTGTTCACAGGCAGTTATGTCTGCATGATTCTCATTCAATAATGTGCGTGAGTGGCCAAAAATAGTGTCCTTTGATTTTCATTAAGCTAGGAAGCTGTGCCATCAGCCCTCCCGCCCATATCCATACTCGCATACACACACACACATGACATTCATACCAGGTGTGAGTGAAGTGTCTTGCCTAAGGACACAACAAGTTTTTTCCACAACCGCCCCACTCTGGCACCTGGAACTCCTAGCGGTTTCCCATCCAAGTACTAACCAGGCCCAGCCCTGCTTACCTTCTGAGATCTGGCGAGATCAGGCTTTTGGCAAGGAGGTTTGACCATGGTCTTGATAAAGTGTGTTTTAATATGTATCTAAAGTAATGTGCCTGAATTTTGAGACATTTTTACCAAAAGTATGTTGGGAGCCATTTCTGGGTGGAGTCATTATGAAAGTACTCGGTGCAGTGCTGTGTATAAGGTATGTGCAGGAGCTAAAATTAGAGAAGGAAAACATAATCTAATGTTTCCATTTTTCACTCTGGCTCCTTGTGAAAAGAGCATGACGAGATCAAACCAAATATTATCCTATGTTCAAATGTCCAGTGCGACAGATCCCAACACATTTGTTATGGTTCCATATTACCCTTGCATTCGGTTTTTGCAGACATTTTATGAACTTTCCCCTTAAGTCTAATTATGGTCCTACCAATTTACATAAATGCTGACCATTTATATATTGATTAAGCACCCCAAACAATAACATAAATATTTTTTTTAAAAGATTTTGAAGTGTTGTTACAGGTCCTGGGAGTGACCCGGGTGTAAGTTGGATTGTGAAGTTGGTTAATATTTTGTCTTTATAGCTCGACAAAGACACACACTTTTTTGGTGAATTGACAAAGTGAGAATGTCTGAATTAAATAAAATATAACTTAACATCCAATAAGCCACAATCAAAAGCTTGAAACAAAGTGTAAAATATGATGATGTTGTTCAGTATTGTTGAGTTTTTGTTGCTACAGAAGCATCATCATTTTCAGGCATCATCATATATTTGGATAACAAAGAACCACTAATAAAAGAGTGAAGGAGTGGAGGGATTGAGTGCAAGGAATTTGCAGATAGAATTTTTTTCACTCAACCTGTTACCACAGGAGATCAATTTCCTTTTGCCACTCCTCCTGTTTCCATGGCTTTGTTATTCTTCTCACTCTGATAGTTTGAACCAGCGCTG